CTGTAAGAGGTTTGAAATTACACATATGGCTCACAGTGCACTTTAATTGGACAGTGCTGCTCTGAAGACAGCTCTTCCTTCCCTTGATAGTTCTAAGAGACCAACATTCTTTCTCATTCAACAAATATTTACAGAGGCCTAAATGGATCTTCTACCTGAGAGAGACTTTGGGATCAATTTGAAAAGACCGCTGAGTAATCCCTTCAGTCTCTCTAATTATTCCTCTTCTGTGGGGGAGTCTTGTATTATAAATGAAGGCTGAGCTTGCTTTTGTGTTTGGATCATCCAGAAACAAAAACTAGTCGCCTAAATTGCATGGAAGAATAGGAGACTAATGGAAATACAAATTCCGTATTCCTGTTCTGTAAAAATCATTTTGCAAAGATCCATAATGTGAGGCAAGATATTCTCATTTCTGCTAAGAGGAGGCAAAGCGTGGATTTCCATCTCATAGCCTTCACTGCTAGTTTGCTCAAAGTGTCAGTTCTCTGGGGGAGGAATGTTGGACTTAGCTGTGCAGCAGAATGTAGAAGTGCTCCGCTTAAAACGTGATTCACCAAGGAAGTGTTTCAGCTGAGGGGGACTGTCAGAGAAATGGTGACTGGACAGCTGCTGCACCGTGTGGTAAAGACAAGGCTGGTCCACTTTACTCAACCCAAAACCAAATATGCATGTGATAAATAAATGAGCTGTAAAAACAAAAAGGAAAAAATAAGGAATTATATTATAGTAGTGAACATGTATTACTTTTATAATACATTTCTTGAGTCTTTCTCTTTTATCAAAAAACAATTATTGGACCTCCCTGGTGGCACAAAGGGTTAAGGCTCAGCACTATGAAGCTAACCACAGCCACTGCAGCACAAGTTTGATCCCCGGCCAGGGAGGTGACCCATATGGTGCAGCAGACCTCTCCTGTCTCACCCGCTGCTCCCCTCAGGAGTGTATTTCAGTCAATCCACCTGTTCTGTTCCCCCTCTGTCTTTGGTGAATCCTCTCACCCCCTGCACCGTGGCTGTACTCCAGTTCTTATATGAATGAATAAATAAATAAAATCTTCAAAAAATTTATATTCATGAATACCCCATTGGGTTGTAATCAGAATTGGTTCCTCTCCTCAAATCTGTTTGTATTTTTTCAGTGCTTGAAAAGTAGAGACTGATTTATCTGTAAAGTTTCAAATAAGATAGTGATTATTCAATTTAGTTCTCATTAATTTTTTTTCCTTAAAAGGAAAATGTTATATCCTATTTTTTTTAAATGCTATTTTCTCTTTAGCAAAGATGACGATCATGCACAAAAAAATTATTTTGACTTTTTTAATGGAAGGGGCATTGGTTTATAACATTATATAGGTTTCAGTTGTGTAACTTATAAATCAACATCTGTCTACAGTATATTGTTTGCCACCAAAATAACTTAAGCTGTCTTGTTATTGTTATTATGATTTTGTAAGTATTTCCTTATTATGTTTATTTATGCTTTAGATAATTCTTTTAAAATTTATAGTTTTCCCCAAAAAGATGTTAGTTTTAAGATCCACAAGTCCCATTAATCCCTGCTTTTAACTCTAGTCTAAGTTCTACCTTGTATCCAAACTAGTTCTTATCAATTATTCCTAAGGAAGTGCTTGGAAGAAGGTATTTTAGGATACAAATTTATTTTGCAGGTGATGAGTGCACTCCTAAATTTAAAGGTCATGGTTAGATAAATGTCATGAAAAGCCTACACCACTGAGCTCAAACAAACACTCATAAATGAACTTTATCAAAATTCCATTCAAAGCTGTCAGATCCTTTCTTTACTGTTGTTACTGAAGGTTAAGTTACACTTACAGCCAAAGCCTCTTTAAGTTTATGCCTGATTTACCTAATGCTCCTACCAAAATAGCCTTAACTGTATGATTTTCCTTGGTTGTATTAGGACAGTGTGTAGTGTTTCTGAATACTAAACCTCTTCTACTTCAGAAGAAGTCTCAAGTAATTTTGGGAGATGACAGTATCCTGCTAACAAATGCTGTTGTTCATGTATATAATTGAAATGTAGGAAAAATACTATTTAGAGGAATAGAAATGGAATAGAAAAATGAAGCATAGCTGCTTAAAGTGAGATCATGTACTACACATGTGGAGTGCTAAAAGAGACCAAAAAAAAAAAAAAAAAAAAAAAGATTCCAGCTTCCTAATTTTATAGATGAGGAAGCTGTCTTCAGGAGAGGTATCAAGATGGTTTCCTGAATGTCAAAATTTCGTGAATGGTTGTGCCAAGACTAAGACTATTGGTCTTCTGCTTATATTTTGTAGCTCCCCCATGCCATAATCTGTCTCCCTGCATGCATGTTCTTCGACATTAAGACTTGTTTTTCAACCCCATGGGCCAACAATTCCACTCCTCGATATATCTGTCATATCCAGTTGCTTGCTTACATGCACCAAAAGACACATACACAATAATTCACGGTAGCATTGTTCTTAATAGCCAAAATCTATAGGAAAGGGAAGAGGAAGGAGGGAAAGTGAGCATACATAAAGGGAGGGTAGTTTAAAATAAGTCAGAAATAGAATGGATAAATAAATCGTGGTATATCAACACAGTGGAATATTACACATCAGTTAAATGAAAAATACTACTGATTGATGAAGCAGTATTAAAAATCTCAAGTAGCATTGCTGGGTGAGAGAAGCCAAACATAAGAACTTATGGAAAACCCTTGTATTACTTGTGTCTGTGTATAAGATCCTTAATGGCAGTGACCACTTCTCAGCACCTGTAGAACTCCAGCATTTATCATATTATCTTCCACAGAACAGGTGTCAATGAATATTTACTGTAATAGAAAATATGTGATACAGAAAAAGACACAAGGGAAGCAGCCAGTTATTTTTTCTAATGAAGGAGACACCAATAATTTAATTCTTAAGATATTTATACCAGAGCATAGCATATAGAAACCTGAAATATTAACACAATATTAACTGGTGCTTAGGTAGTGACTAGACGATGGTAATGGGTTGGATTGTTTCAGAACAGACATGGGTAACAATCTGTGGTTTGACCCCAGGATCATTTTAACTACGATATCGTGTAGTTGTAATAGTTTTCTTTATTGGTATTTTTGGCCTAAATGGGGAGGACACCTCAACTCTTTACCCTATTTCTATTTAGTTCAGTGCAAGGAAAACAATTAATCAGTCAGATTCCAGCATGCTGGGTAGGCCAAGCTTTTGAGGATTTGTACCTTGGGGTCTAAATGAGCTTATACTGGAATAAGGGCTCCTTTTCCTCTGCCATTGCCTGGCAAGCTGGTCTTTCATTTGTTGGGGTGATACATTTATATTGAAGACAACAGAGTAGCTCTTCTGTCTGCTTTGATTTCAGATCCCATACAACCAGGTTGTGGTGCTCATTTACTTTAATATTAGAGCTCTACATTGAGCTGTAGGCCACTCCCATATTGATGATAAAACATTACACCTCTTTCTTTAGGCACTTGATTCTGTAGGGAACCACCCAGAAGGTGGGACAGGTAGACTAGGTAGGATTTGTACATTCTGGATGTCCTGGTCTAATACCATTTTAGTGATATAAATAAAACCACCCATTAATGGTATTCATTTCTTCATCCCTATACACATACCACACACAGTCCTGATGATCTACTTCCTCCTGTCTCTGGCACATCCCTCATTGGTAGATGGTGTTGTGACATTCCTGTCTATTATTCTTGCAAGTTTATCATGCAGAAAAAAATTCCTTGAACTCTGAAGGAGAGATATGCTCATGGTTGACAAAGATGTGCCCTGCGAAATATAGATCAGACAGACCAGGTGAATTGGAGTCCCTGGAGAGCTCAGGAACAAATTGTTAATCAATTTGCAATCATCTATACAACCACCGGCTACTGAGCTGCAATTAATCCAGCTTTGTGTGTAGCCACTTGTGCAAGTTCACTAATTCCATTCTTCTAGTAGGACATTCACATTTATAGGGTGAGAAGACATGGTCCCAACCATTTAGGTGGGTGGGAAATAGCTTTTGGTGGTGGTATTTTATCTAAAGCCATTTGTGAAGTGCTGAGAATGCAATGCTGAGATGGGAAAATTTCTTTTATCCTTAAATTTTCTTAAAGTACTTAAAGTACCTTAAAATTATCTTTAAAAATCAACTGTTTTATCTCAGTTGTTTTTTTTTTTTAATGTGAGGTTAAACTATGAACTCAGTGTTTTTCCATGTTTGTAGTATCTAGGTAAGTTATATACAGCTTCTTATCATTGAAATGTTTTCAAACTAATTTTTTGCAGCTTAAGGAAAGCAAAAAAAAAAAAGAAGTGTGTTCTTCCTTTCTTGCTGGTGCTGTAACTTAGTGCACAGCTGTTGACCGTGGGTGCCTTTGTGCCCTGACTTCTTACACTCAGACAGCTTTTCAATAGATACATTCATAAATTCAAGTCCAGATGTCTTACCCTGTTATGATTTAAAATGTAAACACATATGAAAATAACTGATTACAATGTCATGTCAAAAATTTATCATGTTTCTACCAACTTTTTTTGTGAGGTTCCCTCAAAATACAGAGGCAGGAGGTTATTTACTAAGATAGTTTATGAGTTAACACTTAGTAGTTTCATTCATCTTTCTTGCTCATTTTTGCCAAACCCCGAAGTTACCTCTTCACTATTCAGTTATGCTCTGAACAGATATCCAGGCTTTTATTGGACAACAGTATTCAGTCAGAGAGATGTACCTGTTCTTCTAACTTTCATCCAGGAACTGAAATTAACCTCCATTTGTTACTGGCAGATTTTAAAATTCAACATTCTGAAAACTCTTTGGAAAAAATTATCTTAACTTCATCATTCTTACCTTGGAATTGCTGATATATTTTCTTGCCAATGCAAACCTGGAAGTGGTGATGTTAACTTTTAGATACAAGTGTGGTGAAATGAAATCTCAGGGCACCCTTGAGCACTGCTAACCTTCTTGTGTCTGCTGGCTTGCAGTTTAACTCAGCTGCCAAGCAGCTGATCGAGTGGGATAAGCCTCCTGCGCCAGGAGTCGATGCTGGAGAATGCACGTCGGCGGCAGCCCAGAGCAGCACTGCCCCAAAGCACTCGGACACCAAGAAGAACACCAAAAAGCGACACTCTTTCACATCCCTTACCATGGCCAGCAAGTCCTCCCAGGCCTCCCAGCACCGCCACTCCATGGAGATCAGCCCTCCTGTGCTCATCAGCTCCAGCAACCCCACAGCCGCTGCTCGCATCAGTGAGCTCTCTGGCCTTTCCTGCAGTGCCCCTTCTCAGGTAAACCTTCCCAAAGGTGTGGACAGAGCTGGGCCACAAGATGACCTACTCACAGGGAAGTGTATATTTGTTCTCTAGCTGAACAGCATTGTCTCATTAAGTCCTCAGCAGACAGCACCTTTCCTGCAGTTAAGCCTGTCTTCATTTTATAGATGGAAAAGGGGGAAGGGAAACTAATTGGCGAGTGAGACCCCAGAACCATTTAGTGTTTCTCAAAGGAAAGATCAGAAATTATAAAATGATTTAAATATATTTACCAGTTTTACCAAGCAGTCTCTCAGTTTTCCAGGACCTTCTCACAAAGCTGCTGTGGGAGATCTTGCCAATTTCATCTCTGTCCAACCCAAAGGTGCTATGATCAGAACTCACTGAGCTTGCGGTTGCCTGACTATGCCTAATTCACCCTGATGCTTAGGCTTCCGTCTGAATGTAGAGAAAAGGGCTGAGAAGAAACATTTAATTGAAATTAGAACTTTTTTTTAAAAAAAGATTTATTTAGGCATACAAGAACTGGGGTGTATGCCAGAGATGAGAGAAGTGAGAGGATTCACCAGAGACAGAGTGGGGAGCAGAGCAGGCAGATCTACTGAAATACACTGCTGTGGGGAGCAGTGGGCAAGACCAGAGAGGTCTGCTGCACTGTGTGGGTCACCTCCCTGGCCAGGGATTGAACCCATGCTGCAGTGACTGGTGATAGCTTGAGACTTTAACCCCTATGCCACCAGGGAGGCCCCCAAATTAGAAGTTTTTAAATTTAAACTTTAAATCAAAGTGTATCATCACTTTGGACTGTCTTAAAAATTAGCTACTCATTAATCTCGAGTTAATGATAATATATAGCAGATGATTGGGAACATCCATTGATTCATTTGGCAAGCATTTTTAAGTGCCTTATTATTAGACCCTTCTTAGGCACAGTGTATACAATAATGAGTAAGGTACGGGGCTTGCCTTCATTAGGCCTTAATTCTGACTATAAGACAAGCTTCCCTGTGGCTCTGCCTAAGTAATAGGCCTGTAGATTTAGCCAATACGATGACAACCCAGAGGTCACAGAGGCTAGTCCAAAGCAGCCTGCCCCAAGCAGAAGAAATTCCTTCTAAGTTTTCATTTTTCAAATCCATGCCGAATTTACAGTCCACTCTACAATATAGCTATGCTTTTTTGAAATATAAAAACTTATTTTCTCTTTTAAAAAATAAAAAAAGAAATAAGCAAACTTGTGGTCCTGGTACTCAAGAATTTACAGTTTGGGGGGCTGTTTTGACTATAGAATAAAAATGTACAACAAAGTTATCGGTATTTTTCTCCCAATTTTATTGAAAATTATTTTCTCATAACCTCATTTACTTGACCCTGCTCCTTGAGATTAATGCTGCTTGTAGTGAGTAAAATGCATTCATCTTCTGAACGGGATTGTGGTTTGCTGGCATTTCTAGGTAGCAGAACCTTGCAACTTTTGACCTTATGAGGGAAACAGGACACACACACACACACACACACACACACACACCACCACCACCACCCCCCAACCATTAGATCATGAGTCTGATGAAGACCAGGGGTCTTTGTTTTGTTTGCTGATACATCCCAAATGGCAGACTAATAAAGTACTCGAATATTTGTTGAATGAACAAGTGACTCTGGGAAAATGGAGAGGGCAAAGCCATGTTGTTTGAAATGTAACCTAATTACACCCATGTGAAAAATACACGTGGATTATAGATCAGAGTGAGAAGTGCCAAGTGGGGGCTACTTTGGGAAGGGTTCAAAGGTGAAGATTTTTGGAATAGGTTCTGATGGCATCCAGATGGCTCTTCACTTTATTTTTTATTTTGCAATCCAGTAGTATTTGCATGACGATGCTTCCTTGAAATGAAAAGATAAGCTTCTGCTGAGAATTGTGGCAACTAAGAGTGGGACTAGCGTTAGAAGAATGAATAGTAATCTTTTGGCAGAGAGAAAATTAGAAGAGAAAGGAGTATCACCGTGTGTTTGCATCTTTTGTGGAGAACCCGGCAGTCAGGTGTGAGCTTGTCTGATGCCGTCACAACAGGGCTGGGAAGGAAGGCTATAAAAGTAGAGCTATTTTTGTTTTGGTTTAAGTAGCTTAGGAAACAAGGCTCTTTCTGTGTTCCTTTAAAACGGCCTTCCCTTCACCTAACCCTCCCCTCCTCCCATATTCCAATTCGTTCTGTGTGCAGTGGGAACGTGTTGCCTCAGGGAGAAGTTATTTCTAAAAGAGGATGGGAGATGTTTGAAGTGCTGCCCGCTTTCTCCAGCTTAGGTTTACAGAAAACACTACTTGTTGTGGGACTGTGTACATTGGAGGAACCACAGTCCACAATACAGCAGTGAGTGCATGTGGCATATGGGAGAGGCAAACACGCTCCTAAACCATAGCACTTGGAGGAGGTGAGAAATGGTGAGGCTGTTTAAAATAGGGCTCTCCTTTTCTTCTGCCCAGTGAAGAGCCTGTCAGGTTTGATGAAGGCATATTGCTGAAAGCATCTCCTGCTGTTGGTATGATTTCTTTCTTGCTTTTCTTCGACTAGGCTTGGTTGCGTTCTCTCCTTTGGATGAACTCTGCAGACAGGCAGTTCAGTGCTGGTGGATAGCACCCTCTGCTTCACCTTTCCACAATGCGGGCAGGTCCTTCCATTCAGGTTTCTAACGGGCGCTTAGAGATTTCACCTTCTTGTCCAAGGTCTAGACACCAGCGTGGAGAAGTGGACGGCAGCTTGGAGCAAAGGACTTGCTGTGATTGGAGTTGGTGACTATTGAGTGAAGGCTTTAAAATATATATATATTGGAAGACTATGTATAGCCTTGGTGAGCAGGTGCTCACCAGAACAGATGTGCACAGATGCCTGTGATTGATATCTTGAAAAACTCATGACGCTACAAGCAACCAAGCTGTTTGTCTGCACCTCTCTCTGACCACACCCACGATATAATTTGGCCTCTGCCAACTAAAAGAGTGATTCATAAGATGAAGTGTTTTTGTGGCATTTTTGTATTGAAGATTCATCACCTATTCCCATTTGCTTTCCCCAAATCTCTAACTTCCTCCCCCTCCACCCCATAACCCTGTGGAGGAGACCAAACTGCTGTGCAGTGAGACATGAGAAAAAAATGAGCTCAGAAAGTCAGGTTGTCCCTATTCAGGGTATTTGCCCTGGATATGCTCATCTATTGCCATCCTGTTCTTCTGCTTTTAGTCATTGTAAAGGCAGGACTGGACACAGTGCAGGTTTTCTGATCCCATGCAGACCGGGTAAAGGAGGAGTCAGAGTCCTCAGTGGTTTTGCAGGTTTTTTATTGGGGTTCACCAGGCATATGGCAGGCAGGGGTTCTGGGGGGGCCGGGAGGCTGGCAGTCCTCCCAGCCCCCAGCAAATCCGCACTCTCTTTGGGCTCTCTGGCGTTTGTTCTGCTGCTTCTCGGCTTCTCTTTCAGCTTCGGCTTCGGCTTCGGCTTGGGCTTCTCTTTCGGCTTCGGCTTCGGCTTCGGCTTCGGCTTCGGCTTCTACTGCTGCTGCTGGCGTCCCCGTGACACCCCCCTTAAAAGCACAGTCTTAGCTCAGCTGAATCCCGTCTACCTATGCCCACACCCTATTCCAGGTGCCCACCATCAGGCATGCATTCAGGACAAGGATCCATCATCTATCCTGATGGCGGAAGGGCAGAAAAGCCTGACATTTTCTTTACCCTACAGTCATTCTCTGGTGGATTCTAATATCTTCCTTTTCTCCAGGTCTAGGGATGGCCAGTGTGTTTTGGTGCCTGCAGGGCTCTCCCTCTTTGCTGCCTCCTCCCATGTCTATGCTGGCAGCACCCTTAGGGAGCTGTGGACCAGTCTCTCACAGGGGTCCAGAGATGTAAAATGACTTGTCTGTGGCCGTGATCTGGTTAGCAGTTAGTTACCCTGACTCCCCGTCTGAAGCTTTAAAATAAGTGTCACTCAGTAGTGAGATATTTTCAGGTATTTTAGGATCAGACCCAAGGGACTGTATTGGATTATATTTTAGTAGGTGTTTGGCTGTCCCAAAGGTTGGGGTGTGTACTTTGAAGTGGCTTCATTTTACTGTCTGAGAAAGACTACCGCTTTTATGTGGTACTGACTTACAGGTATCTGTGGAGTGTATCTGTAACCAGGTTTATTGGATAAAGTAGCTAAAAGCCTTTGGGTTTTAGCCTAACATGAGAAACCAGTGTGTTTCTTATTAGAAATTGATTGAAAATAGACTGGTTCACTGAAGAGACAGAACGAGGGCTTGGGGAGAAACTCTTGTTAGTGGAACTCTTGGATCTGTGTAGGTTCAGGCTGTCAATTCCGTCAATATAGGGGCTAGCAGGTACAGGTGTGAATTTAAAAGGATGTGGGTTCCATGCATAACAGATGTATTTGTGAAAATAAATTGTGATGCTGCTTATCCCCAGCCTTGGCAGGGCCTAATCCAGTAGGAAACTGAAAGGTTCTTCAAGCCCCCTGGGAACTGATCTCTGAGCTTTTCTTTGTTCTGATAATCTTTCTCTTAATTTACGGGAATTGAGGAAACTATGTTTGGGATTAAGTCTTTTTACACAATATCCATTGTTTCTGTGTGTCATTGTGTCCTTGGGGAAACAAGGTACCAACCAACCACATTCCAGTAATAGTGGAGAAAAAACATTTTATTTGTGCGGGAACCCACACCAGTAGCACAAACACTCTGCGTCCTGCAGTTGGACCTAAGTGAAATTGATCCAATAACCAAACACAGGCAATGAAATGACCTGAATAACTCACTTTTTTCCTAGTAAAATAATCTTGACTAGTATCATGAATAAAACATGTTTGAAAACAGGTAATTTCATTGTTCTTTAAAGTTTTTATAAGAAATTACCTGCTATTAGCATGTTTAGGCAGTTGTGTTTTAATTGTGTCCCCCTGAATGGTAGAAGTCGTGAAAAATGATCCTAAAAAATAGCAAAATACCTTAAGCAGTTCACATAGATTTAACACACTGATGAGTATTCAGGTTAGCATTCAGCCACAGACCACCTCAACAGGGTCTTCAGGGAGTGTGTGTTCGCTAGTAGAGTGGCAGGTTAATTGTCTGAAAGTTCAGTTTGGTTCAAGGTAGGATCCCAGATGGGGTGGGGCGACGTGTTATGGTGAAAACCAGCAGCATTTGAATTCTGTATATAAAAGATTGTAGTGGCCAGTATTTATGACATGCCTCCCCAGTGTTTAAGACAATTAGGTAATCTGTAAATTTGAGTAAACCCAAAGGGATTTAGCCTTCCCAAAATGATGGAGGCTACATATTTTTCAATTGTGACCTGCCCTCCCAAGATTTAGCTGGTATAAGCTGCTATATTAAGTGTGGGCTTCTTTTTGTTAACTTCTGTTTTTCTTGGCAGGTTCATATAAGTACCACCGGGTTAATCGTGACCCCACCCCCAAGCAGCCCAGTGACAACTGGTCCCTCCTTTACCTTCCCATCAGATGTCCCCTACTCAGCTGCCCTTGGAGTGAGTATGGATTCTTCCATCTCTGTCTCTTGGATATTTCCTCACCTTAATCTGGCACATACCAACTCCTAACAACTGCAGTTCACCTTGACATTTGCAAGGTGGGATGGATCTCTATCAATCACCTGTTATCTCTGTTAATCTTACCAAAAAATTAAGATCGCAAAATGGTTTCTGGTGAGGACTGTGTCCTGATGCTACTAGAAAAACTATAAAATACGTTTCATTAATGTTCAGCCTGATTTTCTGAAGCCATAGCCTTTATTTCTTTTTGTTTTGTTTTGTTTTATTATTATTTTTTTAAAGATTTATTTATGTATACAAGAACTGGGGTACAGGCCAGAGATGCGGGGGTGAGAGGACTCACCATAGACAGAGTGGGGAACAGAACAGGCAGACTGACTGAAACACACTGCTTAGGGGAGCAGAGGATGAGACAGGAGAGGTCTGCTGTGCCATGTGAGTTGTTCCCTGGCTGGCCGGGGTTCGAACTCATGCTGCAGAGGCTGCGATTGCTTCATAATGAGGTACTTAACCCTTGTGCCACCAGGGAGGCCCCTTAGCCTTTATTGCTTTTGAGTTTCTTGACCTTGATTATTTTCTTCCAAAAGACACATTTAGAGAAACATGAAGGAGGAAACTGGGATCCCCAAAGCTAAGTGATTTGCTTTGAGTCACATAATAAGTTGAGTCCAAATCTCTAGATTCACAGTTCCCCAGTCTGGTTGTCTGGTCATATAACTGTAGCTATGGCTGCCTAGGCTAGCTGCTGCCAGGGAAGACTCCTCAGATTATGTTGGTTAATCCTAAACACTAATGGCTTTAAAACATCCGAATGAGGGGTAATTGAGAGAACAAGGACAGCCAGGTGAGATAGATATGAACAACTGTGGAGAGAAAATTAAAAAGGGAAAAACAAGCAGAAACACAATAGTTTAAATCTCTGTTTCCTAAAATTGCAGGCAAAGGAACCAGCAATTGTGAGACATCTCTCATCCAGGCCTATACCGTGACTTTTACTTTCAGACTGTTTCTTCCAGTGCTGAGTTGAATGCGGACAGAAATGGTCCCTAAATCAGATCTCCACCCCTGAAAATTAATTTACAGAGTCTGACTGATGTTCTTAGAAAAAATTGTGGTCTGATGATGGGGGCAAAGACCTGGATTTGAAGTCTACCTCAGTCACTTGGCTGTTTTAAGGACATGAAAAGTCATTCAGTCTCTTTCAGCCACAGTAGTTCCACCTATAAAATGAGTCTAACAGTGTCTGCACCATGTTGAGAATGTGAAAAGGGAGGCCTATTACTGATTTCAACTCTTGGCCTTTGCCAAGCTCTGCTGCAAGGTGGGCCTGGGACATGTACCCCTGAGTTACTCTCAGAATGCCTTGAGGGGCCTGGTTCTTTTCGTTGTGGTTTTCTCTGCTCTCTCTACCAGGAACAGTGAGGCCTCTAAGCAGCTGGTTTGTTTTTAGGTTGTAGATTTTATATGTGTTGTAAAGATTATATTTCTCTCTGCTAGAATGCTTAGAGCCCCTCCGGCAAGGACCTCAAAACATATACTCAAAATGTTGGCTCCATTTAGTTGTAATGTCCTCATTTTCCTTTTTGCTTCATTTAAAAATTTTTTAAATTTCTTTTGTCTTGATACATTTTATACATAATTGAAAACTGACTTTGAAATAAGGTGGGATATAAATAAATGCAGAGTGAATACCCAGCTTGACTTAGGCTTTTGGAAAGCTTATAAAGTATATTCTTGTGTTTAAATGGAGGTTAATAATGTTCTGTTTCAAAGTTATTTTCTTTTTTGTTTTGAAAGTTCCCAGAATGATTACAGTTTCCTTGATGGCACAGCTGTTCGGTGAAGGAAGAGAAGTTGCATTGATGCATCTGGGGAGAAGATGAAATTCAGTTAACTTTTATTGAAATGTGGTTTCCAGGACATTTTGTTAGCCTCTGGTGTTTTGACCAGAGCCAAATCCACAGTCATCTTGCCCTCTAGTCTCTAAAGAACATTTTCCTTTCCTTCCATCCCTTCCCATCCCAGTATATACCACCGGTTGGTAGTTCCTTTTTAGATGACTGCTTTGTTTGGAAAAATTCTAATTTGATTTCTTAAGGGGAAAAAAAGACCGACTTTCTTGATCTTAGAAAAATTAATTAGTGGAAAAGACATAGAGTTGGCTGAGTTTCAGCCCTTGTGAATTGAAAATTTTACAATATAGTAAATGGCCAGTTGCTCTTAGCTGGAGGCATCCTCCAGGTCAAATCAATGGGGCAGGTCACAAGAGAGCATGAGTATACAAAAATTAATTTACATTCAACCATTTCATCCTAGGATTATATGAGAAAGCCTGCCTGTTAAGCAAGAGGAAGGTTTATTAAATGATGTGTCTACTGTGCCAATTCTGTTCAATGAAAAACTAATTATAAACAGGCCTGTCTGTCATCCCAGGAGATGTCTAGATCTCAACGTCCCTGGTAGTTTGGCGAAATGTTTTGGATTTAGCACATTAAATTTAAGTAGAAAAAATCTCAGTAGCATATGCCCTCTGCATCTTACAAATTTATTTATTAAAGATATATTTATTCATTCATACAAGAGCGGGGTATAGGCCAGAGGTGTGGGGGATGGGGGGGGGTGAGAGGATTCACCAGAGACAGAGTGGGGAGCAGAACAGGCAGACTGAGTGAAACACACTGCTGAGGGGAGCAGCGGGCGAGTCAGGAGAGGTCTGCTGCGCCATCTGGGTTGCTCCCTGGCCAGGGATCAAACTCATGCTGTGGTGGCTGTGGATAGATTCATAGGTTGCATCTTAGCCCCCTGCACCACCAGGGAAACCCTGCATCTTACAAATTTAAAATATTTCCTTTGACTTGGAGCACTGTCACAGCCAAGGTGTACAGCTTTGCAGGAAGGACACCATGCATTTCATGGTGTGGATTTGCAGGTAATAAATACCACCACTAGAATAGGAAATGCAAATTATTTCTGCTGCTTTCTTCATGAATTGAGACTCTTTAATCTTTTATACGTAATGAAGTTATAAGCATCTTGTGCCTTGCGTTTCACACATATCAGCTAAAATGGTAAATATATCATGTTAGGAACAAAACTGGCATTCAGATATCAAACTATTAATAGCAGGGAGGATTTTTTAAACTACTTTTATGGGGTTAGGAAGTTATTAGTCTTAACCTTGTATCTTCTGCAGGACTATAGGAGAACTTTTAAAACAAATGAGTAATAGTCCCTGAGTCTCTGTACCAGTTGAGGGCTATTCAGCTGCAAGATGTCACAAGGTAGCCACATCAGAAAAGGTCAACTCCAGCCCTCAGTCAACTTACAAACATTGCATTTGAAAAATGTTACCCTAACTAAAAAAAATTTTACAAACACACACACACACACACACACACACATGTGCGCACGCTTAAAGAAACAGAATTAAAGGATGTCAGGTCCTCAGAAGAGCCAATATGTAATTAACCCATTGTTAGCCCCTGGTGGCGGCTAATAAGCAGAACTTAAACTGCTGTTGGCAGGTTTGGGACATAGGGGATGAGACTGCTGACCTTGGTAGTTTGAAAGGTAGAACTAACTATTCCCTCATCAGCCAGTAGCCAGTGTACATGCATCTGAGTTGAGTTCCAGAAATACTGATTGGAGAAGTTGATGGAGGATTAAAAGTGCATTGTTAGGAAATCAGCCATTTAGAAAGAAAGAAAACATTGGAATGGACAGGAGTTCTGAAAATGGGAATGAGCCAAAATTTCAAAGTTAACAAAAAAGGACTCTCACATCTTGGGAACTGAGACCTCTTGATGCATATTGTATTGTTCTAAGGGAGGTAGAAGCAAGAATGTCTTCTTGTTAAAGAAACACTGTAAATGGTTGGTTATCTTCTGGCTGCAAAGCTAGGTGCCAGCCACACATGAATGATTAAGATGGTCTCTGATGTCTAATGAGTCATAACAATAACTTCCATTTATTGAGCTTCTGCCGTGCTCTGGGAACAGGATAGGCAGCTTACCTAAACTATTTCTAATAACCCCATCTCACAGAATGGTATATTGTAGCATAGGGACTTTATATAATTTATACAAAGTCAGTTAACTATAGGGTATCTCGTCTATAAATTAAATGTAGAACAATGATTCTATAATTTATAAGGGAGTTTCCATTCCCAGAGAGATCTTTTAAAATTAGCAAATCCTTAATTACATCCTCTCCTTTACATGTAATCTTCTGAACCTTTATTTCTAGCATTTTTTATGTATTTATCATGTTTTTTTTTCTTCAAAGCTGTATCCACAGTTGGCTAGCTTAATTCGCATGAGCATCCAGTTGAAACAAAAGACTCAAATAATTGCATAAACACTCCTGTATGCAAATGGTAATGCTGCTGAAATGGTTAACACTTGTCTTGAGGTGAGCAGGACCACACAGTGTGCATGCATCTGAGTTCATGGCACAGATAGTGATTACAGGGAAGCCGATGTGTGAGGCTGAAAGTGGGTTGGTAGTAAATCAGATGTTTAAAAAGAAGTGATGGGATTGGGGGATATTAAATGGTATTTGCCTCAGGCACCCAGAAAGGCCCAAAGTCTACCCTGCCAGTTTCTTTTTTACCTTGGGAAGTGTGGGAGGGAGAGGCACACGGAAGAATTCTTAGAAAGAAAATGAACCCTTGCTTATTGGTTGAACATATGCCCCAAAGCGCCTAACTGTCAGGCCCTCAGCCCAGACTTAAGACTGGGGATCTTGTCCCCGATGCTTGACCCACTGCAGTCCTCACCACCTCCAGACTGGTTGCATGAAAGGGCATGAGGAGGAGAGAGCACCAGAGAAGGGTCTCACATGCATGTGCTTGAACTCGCTCACAGTGTGGACAAATGTGGAACCCAGACCACCAGAGAGTACAGTTCTCAGGTGATCACTGACAAAGGAGGGAAATCAGGGCTGCCCGAAAAGACTGATCCTGGGCTAGAATCTACATTTTCCTGACTCCAAAACCATGCTTCTACAATGCACAGCTGCTGCTTTTTTCAAGAATACAGGGTCAGGGGAACAGAACCTGGATATGCAAGACGGGTTTATTTAACACAAACAGGCAACCCCTGTGTTCTGTTTTTAAGCCAGGTGTTATTCAGAAAATGGCATTTCTTTCATTTCAGAAATGGTATACCATTATTCAGAGTGGTAATTCTTTTCTGAGACCATTGCCACAGAAGATCTGAATCTATAGAAGCTCAGTTTTAATGACTATCAGAAACACCCCCAGTTTTCTACATCAGTACTTCTGTGACCTGCGCCACAGCTATAAGGCTACTCTAGTTGGATCGTGCAGACCTGCAGAACTTCCATGAGGCTAAAGCTACTAGTGATGAGCCCTTTTCAAGCCCCTGATAATTTAGCATGCAGGACCTATTACAAATAGCATTTAGATACAATATTTGGTTCTGAATAATGTTAAGTTCACAAAATATTGTCAGCAAATTAAGACCTACATGTCTAGGAAATCTATAGATGATTTTTTTTAAAGAGGCATGTATTTTTTATTTATTTATTTATTTGTTCGTTTGCACATGCACTGGGTACAGTCAGAAGCGCGGGAGGGTGAGAGAATTCACCAGAGCCAGAGCGGGGAGCAGAGCAGGCAGGAGGACCGAAGTACACTGCTGAGGGGAGCAGCGGGCGGCAGGAGAGGTCTGCGCGCCATGTGGGACCCTCCTCCGGTGGCCGGGGAGCAGCCGGGGATCGAACCGGCGCTGCAGAGACTGCGGGCAGCCTCGCAACCCAGCGCTCAACCGCTGCACCACCAGGGAGGCCCTATAGATGATTTTTGTTGCTGGTAGAAAGGCATGTTGGCCTCTGGTGACTGAACTGGCCTGGGCTTGGAAGTAACAGGCAGGTCTCCAGGTCAGCTCCGGGTGACTGAAAGGCTGTGGTTTGCTTTGTAGAAATTTCAGGTCTTGCAGGATAGCCAAACTGCCTGAAGCACAACACTCAGTGGATTACCTTTTGAACTTCCACATCACCAGATTATTTCAGTTTAGGTTGTTTATAAAGCAACCCACAGAACTTCCTATTTTGTCACAGTCTGGGACTCACCAGAGCCCTATCATTTTACTGACCCTACAGGGCCCAGCAACATCTAGGAATCTGATTTTAATCAGACTTGCTCTCTTGGTCTTTGTGTGCTTATATATCTACGAATATACATACGCTTATCTTTATGCAAAGATACGCAGTGCAGTATTGAGAAAAAATTGCCCAATTAAGATCAATGTTTCAACCATAACAAAGTCATAACTGTATTTTCTCTCAATTACAACCTTTGGGGTCTTTCAAAATATCCTCCTTTATGCCCTATCTCAAATGCCTACAGACTTATTTTGTAAAAGTAATGTACACAAAACGTTTGTGTAAAGATTTATGTTTTTATTCATACAAGAACTTACTATATTTTTTAACTATAAGAAGTAATTTTTTTTTTTATTTTGTTAACAAAATGTGACATGTTTTTATCTGGTCCACAGGTGGATTTTTTTTTTCTTCCTTCTGAGGGTCAATTTAGTACAGCCTCTGTTTCAATAAAATTAAGATCTAACAATTTTAATTTTCTTTCTTCTTGAAAATAGAGTTCTGCTGAGAGGAAATGGAGTTTTTTGATTTGGGGCCTTAGGTTCTATTTTAAGTCATTTCAAGGAGTGGTTATTGTTGGCTCCTTGTTGATCACGTGTCATTTGTTGTTTGCCTTCCCACAGCCTTGCTGTTTTGAGTCTGAGCTTAGGAAGATTTAAATGGAAATCAGTAAAGTGATAGTTTTAGAGTCTCCGTATATTGTTCTGTGCAGTCTAGACTTGTGCTCTTGCCTGTGAAGCCATGGTGTATTATTAGCCATGATTGTTCAGGTCATATTTAATGAGTATTTTGCCAGGATTATCATTATTTCTTTCTACTTTGTCACTGGGAGGAGACCTAACTAAATGAATGAACCTTCTCCTGGTTAAGGGTATTGAAGGCTCTCAGCCCCAGTCCATGCAAATTCCAGGGCTATAACCAATAGTGTTTTCCCTGGGGAATGTGAAGGAACATTCGTGAAGTTCTGTTTGAACTGACCTCTGCCTTGTCCACTGTAAGCACTCTGTAAGTAGCTTCATGCCTCATTTATTTCTGAACCAAATGTTCTACCACAGCTTCAGCTGCAGTGTGGGAATATTTCTTGGAAGTCACCTTATTAAGAAATTAATGTGGGAAACAGTGTGACATATGTCCAGAATTTTGCAATTTTTTCTACTAGTTTATTATGTTTCTGGAGCTATAAACATTAATAGGTAGATGAAGTAAATGTTGATGAGATTGAATTTTTTATTCTAAAAAATAGAAACAAAATGATTCTGAAATATGTTTTGATATCTTTGGATTTTCGTAATATGCTGGTATGTAGAAGCCATTTATGCTAGGTGCATTCTTAAATCTCCTTATTTCTCTTTTCATTTGGTTCGTACATCTAGTGGTTCAAAGATTTGGGGAAGGCTAGGTGGGGGTTCAGGCAGGTCTTTGTATGCCTGTTTTCCCAGGAGTTTCAGTATACAGACCCTATAGAATTATCTGGGGTTTATAGATCAGAAGGTAACAATTGCTCCATTGATTTTCAAAAGGCATGGACTCCTGTAGGCAGAACCCCATTAGTCTGTGCCCATAAAGGAACCAGCAGCTTTTCGCTAGTGTACTTGTTAAAGATTACCAACCTTGATAGTACTAAATTTCAAAAGCTGGCAGAGTTTAAAAAAAAAAAACGCAACAGTGGCAACAATAGCTCAGTGATTGTGGTTTGCTATTGTTTCGGCTTTTTGGAGATCAGGCATCAAAGGAAATTTTCTTTAGAAGGAATGGTTTGAAATGTAGTGCAGCTAAATTGTTTTGTGTTGTGTTTAAGTTTCAGGTTACAGAAACAATCACAAATTAATTCCTAGCAAGCAGTATGACATTATAGCTTGCACCCTTGAAAGGCGTTTAAAGGCATTTGGATTCTTATCCAAGCAGTACTTAAAAGTGTTGTTAATCTTTAAATTGAATGCAGTTGTTTTCTTTCTTTCCATCCTCCAAAGTGTGATTACATACCTGTTTCCTGAAAAGGTTGCTATGGCTTTAAGACATTACAGGTGAACAAGAGATGAGTTGTTGTTTTAAAGGTGGCTTATATTCAATGTAGGCTGCTGGTTCTGCTCTGTGTAGATTCCATTCAAGACTTTTCCCATGGATTTCTGATTTCTTTCTCCTTCTGTTTTCCATAAAAGATATAAATATATTTCTTGTTCCTTCTTTTTTCTTCTTTGTATGACAGGCAATGAATCCTCCTCTTCCTCCGCCTCCTCTCCTGGCCTCCACACCGCCAGGTGCTGCTGCTGCTGCTGCTGCTGCTGCTGCTGCTGCTGCTGCTGCTACTGGAATGGGACCCAGGCCCACAGCAGGACCCTCTGAACAGATTGCACATTTACGGCCTCAGACTCGCCCCAGTGTGTAAGTGGGGGGCGGGGGGTGGTGGTGATGGCACTTATTACTGCTTACACATTCATTTCAAACTGTGCCCAACACAGAGGTAGAGAAACCCCTTTCTGATAGGAGCCAGTGATAGGCTTATGGCTCACAAGAATGGTTCATGTTCTGCAAACACCTACCCAGCCACGCATATACTCAAGAGACTGCTGAAATGAAATGGGTCTCATACATGACCTCGCCAGGCCACCATCCTGCGCAGTAAGGCCTTGGATAGTTTAGGGACACATAGCGGTTTGCTGTTTCCTAATATTATGTATGACTGGAGCTGCCTTTTTGTACAACTCCTATTTGAGTGATTGGTCATTTTCATTCCTTGCATTCGGACTAAGGGATTGGGCAGACATTCCCTACAAATCGGAGCTAGCTGGATTAAGCTGTAACTCCCCACCAATAAGTATCCAACAGTGAAATTATCTTGTTCAGATTTTGCTGATGGTAGAAGGCAGCTGAAGTTTTATGGATGCTCTATTGTGTCAATCTATACATCATACAGTTATTGATAAAAACTGCTGGTTAGTGTGCCTGCCTGGTTTCCCTCTGTTGATGATACAATCACCTGGCATTGTGAAGTGACTTTGCATTCTCTATGATCTGAGCTCTCTTTCTGTTTGACTTTATGAAATTCAGCATTTTTCCTGACAGAGCATACAGAAACAGGTGCAGCCAAGCTGCTGGGTTCCTCTTAAAGGCAGAATCTTGTGCTTCCCAGTGGGATTTCACACCATATGCCCTCATTTAGGGCTATTTCCCAAGTCTAACAAGTACCATTTGAAGAGCTCAATTTTCCCAGTGGGTTCCTAATCCCCTGCAGCAAGTTAGGCACTCTGGGAAGCTGCATTAATTCTTTCACACCCCATGAATACCATTTGGTGGGATAGTCACCTTCACACTGGGAGGACCAAGTTGGCAATTCTTAATCTGGAAGGGCTCTGCCTTTTCAATGTAGATGGCAAAACCTCTTCTGACGGGCAGTTACAGTGCTACTTAAAGGTTACAGAATTATACTTTGAGTTTACATTTGTGCAAAATATTCAAGAATCTGTACCAGAAGCTTTTTGAGTATCTTAGTCACTCTGAAATCAAATATTCTTTCTATTTTAGATATGTTGCTATCTATCCGTACACTCCCCGGAAAGAAGATGAGCTAGAACTGAGAAAGGGGGAGATGTTTTTAGTGTTTGAGCGTTGCCAGGATGGCTGGTTCAAGGGGACATCAATGCATACCAGCAAGATCGGGGTTTTTCCTGGCAATTACGTGGCCCCAGTCACAAGGTATGATTTTGAATAAATGGTTTACTAAGTTCCTAACAGAAGCTTTATTCTTTGCATGGGTTTCAGCCTATCCAGATTCCTTTCTCATTATAGTTGCTGTTTACATAGCCAACCTTTAAAAAAAAATCCATGTCTGTATTTGCTGAAATCCCTTCCAACCCTAAAATCCTTAGCTTACTTTTCACACAGATATAGGCAAAATTGTATGTTTTTACCAATAAAATGTGCTGGGTTTTGAGTTGATTTGTTTTAAATTATATGTGAGAAGTCTCAATTCATCATTTTCAGTATCTTTCTGCTAGAAAACCAGAAGTGTTTAATATAAACAAAAGCTATATTATTAATACTTCTATGTTTATAGAATGCTTACTATATGCCAGGCAGGTAGATTTCTAAATTCACTACACAAACTAACTCTTGAGTCTTAAATAATTCATTATTGCAGTTGCTTTTATTATTCCCACTTAATAGATGAGGAAATGGAGGTTCAGAGACAATAAATAACTTGCCAGAAATCACACAGTGAAGAAGTGTGTGAGCCCAGATGGTCTGCTCTCTAGTTATTTCATTAGCTTTGTGATTACCTCTGAATTATGGCAATTAATTTCTGTAATACAGTCAGAAGTAAAATGGCCTCAGATATGACATAGATCTTTCATCCTTCTCAACTGAGGGTAATTTTGCTCCCAGGGGAATTCAACAAAGCCTGCACATATTTTTTTGATTGTCACTATGGGGTGGTGGGGAGGGTTGCTATTGGCATCTGGTGGATAGAAGCTTTGGATGCTGCTAAATATCCTAAACCTACAAACACAGGGTTAGGGTTAGGAATATCTTGGTGTCAAAAAATGTCACCAAGTTGAGAAATTCTATTATTACGTAATCGGAAGAACTTTAGGCACACAAATTTTTTTTTATTTAAAGATTGTCCAATTTCTGGTCACTGAGGAAAGTAACCTTGGAAACTCAGTGAAATGACCTATGATGACATCATTGCTGAGGGAGGCCTAGTTTTCTGTCACTGTGCTCTTAATAAATAGTCCAGGTTTAACTGTGTTAAATCATTCCTCAAACCCCCTGATTTTAAATGAATGGCTTAATGAACCGACGTGTTTGTCAGCTGTTGGCCTTGATTTATAGGTTGGCCAGCAGCCTAATCAAATGAAAATCACTATTGTTGCAGATGGTGACAGAATGCTAGCTTTAATTTGACTTGCAGATTTTTAATCAATACAAACCTTCTTTTCTGTATATGTTAAAGTCTACATTCAGGATCCAGTTCTTCCACAAGTTGGCAGATAGGCCAACAAACAACTAAGGAAAATAAACCAAGCAAAAACAGAAAGTGAACTTAATGAAGGAAAATGTTTTCATTAATATTCAAAAGTAAATTTTTAAAGATCTCTGGAGGAAAGGTTGCTTACAGTAAATTCTGTTATTCATCATGGTAAATAATGATATTCAAATTAATGAAATACTCTACTTAGAAAGTCATGACATGGAATTGTTGCTTAAATGAATTTAGAATCTCAGAAAAAATATATTGCATGAAATCTCCCTGAGCCTAATTTCAGTAAAATCACCCAGTTAAGTACTTGAGTCTAGAGAATTTAATAAGGAATGTAATAAAAAATAATGCACAACATTTTGCAATCGAAAGTCGTAGAAGGAAGAAATCTTCATGAAACAGAATCATAAGGTCTTAAACCTGAGCCTCAGGCCAGGCTTCTTGATATGACAGGATATCTGTAGGCTCATGAAACATAAGATTAAAATTGGTCAAGAGAAGCCAGAGAGGACATTTCAAGTGTGTATACACGTGTATGTGCACAAGTGTGTTAGGTACACGGGCACTTGGTTGATGCAGAACTGGGGACAAGCAGGGGAAAGGGCAGAAAATGGGAGCAAAGCTAAGGAAATGTGGATATTGTCAGGTAGCAAACCTGGCATCTCTGGTAGATGGAGCAGGAAAATCCAAGAACTTAAATTCAGTGCAGATGTTGGAACTTGATAGGGAAAACTGAACTCCATAACTGTTTATCCTTGAGCAGAGTTTGCTGTGTGATTTTTCTATGACTCAGAAAATGTTTCAAGACCTTTCTCTGCCTCGGGCCATCATGACTTTGTATTTGCTGTTCGTACAGTTGATGAAAATAATTCCATTCATTTCTTTAACTGTTCTTTCTTAAAGCTCTGAGTCATTTTTCTTACATCTAATTGTCCTGTCTCCCATTTTGCTGATGGATTAGGCTTTCTGTTTCTGTCTTGGCAGAGCGGTGACAAATGCTTCTCAAACTAAAGTCCCTATGTCTACTGCTGGCCAGACTGGGCGAGGGGTGACCATGGTCACTTCTTCCACGGCTGGAGGGCCTGCTCAGAAGCTCCAGGGAAACGGTATGGCTGGGAATCCCAGTGTGGTCCCCACGGCCGTGGTGTCAGCAGCTCACATCCAGACCAGTCCCCAGGCTAAGGTCTTGTTGCACATGAGTGGGCAGATGACAGTCAACCAGGCCCGCAATGCTGTGAGGACAGGTAAGGAGGAGACCACACTGGAAATTATCGGAAAAAGGGCTTACCTGCCTAGTCAGGTCTTTTATGCAGATGCTATTGTAATGTTAAGATGCAATATTAAAGATGTAAGATGTAACGTTAAAGTAACAAATAACCTTAGGAAATAGAAGCAAGCAAGGTCTAATCAATAGCACTTTACAGACACAGCCTGTTTTAGCTATGTCTGCCCTGCACATTCATTCAGTACTGATTTACAGATCAAAAGTCTGAAGGAGGGCCTCCCCGGTGGCGCAGCGGTTGAGCGCTGGCTTGCGAAGCTGCCCGCAGCCTCTGTGGCGCCGGTTCGATCCCCGGCTGCTCCCCGGCCACCGGAGGAGGGTCCCACATGGCGCGCAGACCTCTCCTGCCGCCCGCTGCTCCCCTCAGCAGTGTACTTCGGTCCTTCTGCCTGCTCTGCTCCCCGCTCTGGCTCTGGTGAATTCTCTCACCCTCCAGCGCTTCTGACTGTACCCAGTGCATGTATAAACGAAAAAAACGAAACAAATAAAGAAAGAAAGAAAGAAAAAAAAAAAAAAAAAAGTCTGAAGGAAATGAGGCTGATCCTAAGAGTGGCAGTAATACTTGACACTATGGCTTCCATAGTCAAGATCACATGATCTCAGACCTCACTGCTGCTAGCCACTGTGACCTCTGTGGCTTATGCAGCTGGCCTGTGTGCTGACCATCATTGTTGAACTCCTTAGACCCAGTGGGCTCTTAAACCACTTTATTCTTCCTATGCTTTGAAAACTTACCAAGAGTCTTGGGGTAACAGTGGTGGGATAAACTTGCGAGTTCTATCAGGAAAACCACAGGGGAAAAAATGAGTAATGAGAATAATAAAGATGAGGGAGAATAATTTTTTTAAAGATTTATTTATTTATACAAGAACTGGGGTACAGGCCAGAGGAGCAGGAGGGTGAGAGAATTCACCAGAGACAGAGAGGGGGACAGAACAGACAGATGGACCAAAGACACTGCTATGGGGAGGAGCAGGCGAGGCAGGAGAGGTCTGCCCCGCCATGTGGATATCTCCCTGGCCAGCTGGGAATCGAACCTGCTCTGCAGAGGCTGCGGACAGCTTCACAGCGCGGTGCTCAACCCACTGTGCCACCCGGGAGGCCCTGAAGGAGAACAATTTTTCAGAGAACTGAAGGCCAACCCAGTTTGACTCTGCAGTCTCTCTCTCTAATTCTGTGGAAAGACTAAGGGCCTCGGGGTTATAGCTGAGCTTCTAGACACATGACAGACTTGAAGTTGGATCCACAAGGAAAAGGAGGTCTAGAGATCCAGCTAAGATTAAGTGCTTTTAAACCATTACACAGCCATTATTTATTGCAATAAATGCAAGAACAGCCTTTCATTATGGTCTGATGCAGTGAAATGACTCATGTCTTGGTGAGGAGCATTTATTAGAAAGTTGAATTTTGCCATTCCCTCCTGTCATTTCCTAGTGGCGGCACACAACCAGGAACGCCCCACGGCCGCAGTGACGCCCATTCAAGTACAAAACTCTGCCGCTCTGGGCCCCACCTCAGTGGGTCTGCCCCATCACGCCTTGGCCTCCTCACAACCGCCGCCACCAATGGCAGGCCCTGTCGCCCACGTTGCTGCTGTCAACCTTAGCCGAGCCGGTGCCCCCCTGGCCTGTGCCGCAGCTGCTTCGCTTACCTCCCCGAGCATCCCCACTGCCTCGCTGGAGACCGAGCCCAGTGGCCGGGCAGTGACCACCGTCCCTGGAGCGCTCACCTCTCCTGACAGTGCTTTGTCAGCTTGTGGGAACAATTCAGCAGCCAAGCCAGACAAGGATAATAAAGTAAGACCAACACCCTATGTCTCCGCTTGCCTTGGGTTCCATCATTTCTGGCTAATGAATGGGCTCATTGTTCCACGGTTTTCAAGTGCAGAGTCACCCTACCAGGTGCTGGATCCCTGTTTCTCTGCAGTCATACACCCACTAGTTGCCAAGCCCCGTGTTGGGTTTTAGGGAGACCACAGGGAAGAAGATTTAGTCACCACACCTCACTGAGGACGTTCCTTTCCTCTTCAGTTAGTCATTCTTTCCTTATTTTGCTGTCCTTAATTCTTCCTGTGCAGTCAGTTTGCATCTAGTTAACAGTTCTATAAAAAAGATTTAATAGACAGGGAGTTGAAACTGTTGATTGGAAGTGTTCTTTGTAGATTTATTTTTTCCATCGTGTATTGACTGTAATCAGCATGGGTAGTTTTACTCTTGACTTGAAATAGAGGGAAAAAATTATTTTCTAAATCCACAGATCTTTTAAGAATCTCTCATTTGGGGCTAAACTTCAAAACAATATATAAGCAGAAAACCATATTTGAAACATTAACCTATGGTTGAGTTTGGAGATAGGTAGTTGGAGGCCAGGAAAATTGATGGTGATTAAAAGTGAACAGGAAGAAGAGTGATAATAAAGTCTGAATAATTGTTATTATAATCGTGACTTTTTCACTATTTCATGCCTTTCCCCTAAAGCCGTAACACAGTTCTGGGAAGCTCTAAGGTAATCATAAACTCTCAGCCACCTGGTTCATTGGTACTACATATCCCTCTATTGAAATGGTTAGGTAAGCCTATAAATAGCAGTTTATAAGGAAATAAACTTTACAGCCTACTAAAGAGTTAATATTTAATTGCTGGGTTAACGTGAGCATATTTGAAGAAGATTAATATCTGTTCAGTGTTTATAATTAGCTACATTAAACTAGTACTCAAATGGACGTGCTCAACTTTGTTAATATCTGTTCAAGAATTATTTTTACAGTTTAAATTTTAAGGTTTTGGGACAGTGCCTCTAAGGGACCCTGTCAGTGGAGAGAATAGGCTGCAGCCCCTGCCCTGCCAGGAAAGAATTCACTGAATCTCTGTGGCTTGAATGGTGCCTCTGCTAGACAGAATAATGGCTCCCCAGGGATGCCCAAAGCTTAAGAATGTTCCCTTACCTAGTCAAAAAGGATTTTGCAGGTGTGATTAAGTTTTGAGATGAGGAAGTTATCCTGGATTAGCTGAGGTGGGGGCCAGGTGTTATGGGTGGGGTGGATGTAATCACAAGGACCTTCAAGGAGGCAGGAGGAGCATGGCTGGTGGAGGTTAGACATCAGAATCAGAGATCAAAGTGAAGCAATCCACAGGCCAAGGGGCCACAAACCAGGAAATGCAAGCAGTCTCTAGAATCTGGAGAAAGCAAGGGAATGGTCTTCCTTGGATTCCTACAGAGGGAATGTAGCCCGGTCAAGGCCTTGATTTTAGGACCTGATGTTTACTATGAAGCATGTGGTCATTTGTTACAGCAGAAGCAAATATAGGCCCTCACAGTTTCTCCTGTTGAGTACTCATCCTTCAGAACTGGCCAGGGGCAGCTGTTGACCAACCATGAGTGTCCTAGCTCTGCAGTGATCCAGGCCATCTCTGGACACATAACTATATGGAGGGTCATTGAACCCAGATGTGTCTCCTTGTGCCTTCAAACTCTTCTTTATTTTGAGAGGTTACTTAGAAAAAGTTGATCTCCTTCCTACATTGATGCCTTGGGATACTAGAGGGTTCTTCTTTGTCTTCTTTATATATATATATATATATTACACCATTCTTCATATTTTTACAATCTATGCTTTCTCATCTTTGTTATAGTCGCCATGAAATTCCCACCACCAATTCACCTGTGTACCATCACATAGTCCTTTGTGTTCTTCCCACCGCTGTTTTGATCCTGCAGAATGTCTCTGGTTTATAGTTGCCTGTTGATTTTGATTTTGATTTTATTATAATTACTTTTTTTTTTCCTGATCCCTTATTTGGATCCTCTACATTCCTCCTATAAGTGAAACCATCCAGTATTTTTCATTTTCTTTCTGGCTTATTTCACTGAGCATGATCCCTTCCAGCGCCATCCATTTTGCTAAAAATGGCATGAGTATCTTTTTTGATTGCTGAGTGATATTCCATTGTGTATATATACCACATTCTTTTTGATCCAGTCATCTATTTTTGGGCATTTGGGTTGTTTCCATAGCTTACCTATTGTAAATAGTGCTGCAGTAAACATAGGAGTGCGGGTGTCCTTTCGAATTAATGTTTTTGTGTCCTTTGGGTGGATTCCTAGGAGTGGAATTGCTGTATTATATGGCAGCTCCATTTTTAGCAATTTGAGGAACATCCACACAGCTCTCCATAGTGGCTGGACCAGTTTGCACTCCCACCAGGTGTAAGAGAGTTCCCTTTTCTCCACATCCTCACCAGCATTTGTTGTTGCTAGTTTTTTTGATATGTGCCATTCTCCCTGGTGTAAGATGGTATCTCATTGTGGTTTTGGTTTACATTTCTAGAGGGTTGTCTTCTTTTGGATGTTGTTTTAACTACTCCATGTTATAGACTTCAAAATTTATCTTCCCAAACCTGTCCTCATTTAATATTCCAAGTCTACTAAAGAACTTTTCCCAGTTGATAAAAATTCAGTAATCCCCTGGTTAACACAGCTTAAGCATCATTTTGCCTACATTCTTTCACCATGTCTATAAGAATATCATGGGAAACCTTGGCAGCAGCCCCATTGAAATCTAAATGTCTTTTACATTCTCCCATCCAAACAATCCCCCAGCCTCTCCATCTTTTTTGTCATTCCCTATGATTAGCAAGCATCTCCTGGAGGAGCTTCTCCTCCTCAGTTTCATTTCCTTACTCATATAAACCTTTCTCTCAACAACCTGTTGCAGAATTTTCCAGATGGTCTGCAAAGTGCATTGTTGTCTTCTTCTGATAACTGAGACTACCCATGCCTTTCTTTGGCCTGATGAGTTGACCCTCATACCAAATTCACCAGGATCTGTCAATGATTATTGGTTATGTTTTGGCTGTTAATTATCTGTGCACACTGCAGTGAATTCAGGAGCCTGCATTTGATCTGTAAATCCCAGTATTTTCACCCGTTCCCTCTTATCAAGGTTTGTTGTCCCTCTTCAGTCTGAAGATTATCCTTCCCTTTCTTCATACCATCTGAGAACCACCATCTACCCCAAACAGTGGGTCTGTTCTTTCTCATTCTTCTAGTTTAAGCATAACTTTAAAGCAGTCCCTTCTTCTTTTTTTTTTTTTTTTTCCCCTTTTGGTCTTTAGCATTTTTGCAAGTTGGAGCTCATTCTGATCTTTAGCCTTCTTGAATTGCTATGGGCCATGATATGTTCATTCTTATGGGTCTTTCTTTTGATCTTTTTGTGCTTGTCCTTTAAAAATTTGAGCCCATTAGGCTGCTCCCTGGGGGATCACATCTGTACCTTTGGTTGCCTTTATATTTTCATCTGCTAGATAATTTGCAATTGTATGGTTAGAATTTCATTCTGGAGAGTCCCCCCATTCCTCTTGAAGTATCTTTCTTTTTGAATTTCAGGTCATGCATATATTTTCTTTGAACTTTGAAAATCAGTTCTTTTAAACTTTAGAGTTTAAACTTGACTTTAGCCAACTTTTCTTTGGACCTAGATATTTCTTTCTTACCTAGATATTTCTTTCTGTTTCACCAGCCAAATCTCTCCATTTCCTGATTTCTACCTTCCTTCCAGTTGATTAGAATTAGATCCATAGTTGGAGATACTATGGAATTAGATCCATAGTTGTTCTGTGAGAACAAATTTTTTAGCAAGTCAAGGAAGGAGTTAGGCCCTAAGGGTATCAGAGATTCTAGTTTTACTTGAGACTTCTGGAAAATCTCAGACTTCCAGAGATATTTGACAATTCTCCCATTTTTATCTTTTGTTATGTTGTAATCAGCATCAGCCATTAACTTAAACTGCAGGCAATGCATGATGCACCCCCAAATAATAGCTGGTTGGTTATCTACTTCTTTTCTCTGTGCTCAAGTGCTCCACAGTGGGTTACCACAAAGGCATACAACTTTTCCATGTACACATAGGACTATTGCAGCTCTCACCAAGCTGGGATATTTCTTTTGAAAAATATTTTAGTTGGAAGCCCCATCTGACAAAGTCTCAGAAATGTGTTTTTATCCCAGACTTAAAAATCTCTAGCTAGATTTTCTGGTAACTGCATTCTGCGGTTTGATAAATAAGCATCTGAAACTCTGTAATATATTTCCAAACATCATTTCAGTTATTTCTTACTTGAAATCAGCGCAGTTACACCATTGTTGTTTTATTTCTATAAAAATCTCTGCTATCTTCTATAATTATCAGTTGCAACTTTACTTGGACACTTTTCTAACTTCATACTCCATTTAAAGTCTTCATTATTTGATCGGCTAGTCTCCACCAAAATGTGTTCCCTAGGCTCTAAGATACTCATATATATGTGTATATTTTTATTGCATTCTTTAAGATTTTTCACTTTTACATTTTTAATTAGAAGTTAGAGAAATCCAAACAGAAAGCTTAAATATGAGCCAAGATTTGAAAGAAGACCGCTAATATAGTAGTGTATATGTTTTTTCCCCTGTATATGACAAATATTATTTAGGTATATTAAGCTTTCATGCAGAAAACAAATCTTTGTCTTCAGCACCAATTATGTACTTTACCGTATTTACATTCTCTAAATTATGTTAAAAGGTAAACTGAGGCAGATCGACAGAAGTACACTGCTGAGAGGAGTAGCAGGCGAGTCAGGAGAGGTCTGCTGCGCCATGTGGGTTGCTCCCTAGCCGGCCAGGGATCGAACTCATGCTGCAGAGGCTGTGGACAGCTTCATAGGTTGGATCTTAACTGGTTGCCTAGATTTTGATTTCTTAACCATGAGACATTTCAGGTGTAATTATGCAAGCTGCTAAGGCATTAGAACCATCTCAACCTAATGGCTCTTGTTTTTAATTAATTTAATAGTCTAATCCTCACTTCAGAAAAAGGATAAGCATGTCTGATGACCCTCTCCTCCCCAAGTGCTTACATTTCCTACTCTCACCTTCAGAGTCTCTGGAGATGCTTCATAAGGCTTCTCTGACACTGTTGTTTCTTCCTGTGGAAATCAGCAGGAGTGGGTATTGGTTTGAATGCTCTCTTTGTAGCCTGGATATGTACTTGAAAGAGAACATTCTCATGTGGGGACCAAAGAACTTATTTAGTGCCTGAAATTCCCTATGTCCAGGTTCCTAATGACACTCCTATAAGGAAACACAGGTTTTCTTCAGTTAGTTCGATATTTGAGGATCTTTGCTATTCTCAGTTTTCCTAAGCACAGGGTCCATTTAGTTTTTAAATGCCCAATTTCTTGTATTATAAATATTTGTCCTGAAGTCCCTACTGATTACTTTGCTCGCATGATCTTTCTTCCTCTCTGTTCTTATTTCACTGTCAGAAGCACTATGGTCTGTGGGCTCGACCATTTCATTTTCTTAGGGAGAAGCCTGCTCTCCCTGTTCAGCAACTAATCACACTGTTCCTGCCTTTGGTGATGGCTGCAATCTCCTTATGCAAACCTGCAGAGTCTGGCTCAGAACCACCTCTGTGGTGGGGTCAACATGTCTACTCTTATCATTCCACAGAGTAGATGTGCTTCTGGAGACATTGCCTGTGCTGAACTCCCAAAAGGGAAGACTTGGGGCTTGGTTCCCATCCCACTTCCACCGCTTACCAGCAGTGTGATTGTAGGCAGGCTTAGAGAGGCTTAGAGCAGAGAATAAATATTGATGCTTGTCTCCCCGAGTGGGTGTGAGAAGTAAGTGTGGAAAGCCTTGCAAAAACACTTAACAATTCTTAACTCAGCAGTGATTAACCAGCTCAAGTTTCACATAGCCTTTCCCCCCTTTCATGCTCTTCCTTAAAGCAGCCTTCACACTCATGTGTGGGTGTGCACAAGAGCACACACCTGCCTTCTCAGCCAGTGCCTCCTTGTCATTCTCTCTGCTCTTACCTTGCTTTAGTTCTCTGTAGTGCACCTGTTTGTTTTTTTTTTAACGATTTACTTATTTATGTATACAAGAGCTGGGGTACAGGCCAGAGATGCAGGGGTGAGAGGATTCACCAGAGACAGAGTGGGGAGCAGAACAGGCAGATTGACCGAAGTACACTACTGAGGGGAGCAGAGGGGGAGTCAGGAGAGGTCTGCTGCACCATGTGGGTTGCTCCCTGGCCGGCCAGGGATCGAACTCGTGCTGCAGAACTGCGGATTGCTTCTAGTGCGGTGCTTAACCCCTTGTGCCACCAGGGAGGCCAGTAAGTGCACCTGGTTTATGTCCATGATTATGTCTCTGCTTGTTACTGTTGCTTGCCAACTGTCACATTCCCAGAACGTAGCACATTGCTTGGTTCATATTAGATACAAATAAGTATTTATTGAAGCATGATTACTACTGGATAATTATATATGAATAATGAATTCAGTAATGACTGATGAATGAATGTATGAATGAAGTGTTTGAGATTTTTTTTTCACTTGAGAACAGCAACTCTGCTTATTGGAGCCTGGCTGTAGATTTTGGATCACCTATACCACCCAGAAGACTATTTCTCTCTTGCCACTTTCTTGGTACATCTGAAAGCAAGGAGGGAAATAAAGAGGAAAACTGGGGTAAGAATGTGGCTAATTGTGAGTGGCTCAGAAGAGATGTGTTTTGCTTGGGAAGGAAGGAGCTTTGGGGCTTCCCACTTTGTGTTTTCTGTTACACAATGAATAGAACGTTGTTGATACTCACAAATTATTTTTATATGTAAAAATTACTCTGTATGGTTATGTGGTGATTATTTGTGACCTCAGTAGTTCTCTTTTTCTGTCTATAGGAGCTGTGGTTTTAAATCATCCAATCTTCTAAAGAGAAAATCACATTTGATCTAGGAACAATTTCTTGGAGGACCCACAGGAGAAGAATTATTAAGGTTTATTTAAAGGATAGGCTCCTTTTTCACACATGTTAACATTAGATTTTGAAAATTGCCTTGCTGAAGTGTATTGTAGTCTTGACTAATTCATCTGCAGTTTTCATTTCTGCTGTAGGATTTGGAAAAAACAAAGGTGCCCTTAGATGATAAGTGTATGAATTTGCAAAATTATCACTCTCAAGTGGCACATTGTTCTGCTACTGTAGAAAACATCAGAAGATGATATTAAAAGCATAGCTCCTTAGACAAGAGCGGCATCTCCTCTGTGTTAGCGCCGCGCCCCCCCCCCCCCACCCCACCACACACACACCTAATCCTCTGCCGGCTGCTCCGTGGGTAGTCAGCATCGACTGATGATGATAGCACAGCCTTGAGAAGTCATTAAAGCAAGCTGTATTTAATGTGTTTAATCATTTTAGAGGAACAAACATCTTTCTTCTTAATCACTTTAGAGGCTGTTCCCTGAGCGCTTTTCAGCTAACTGATCTTTTTCTGAGTGCCCAGAACTGAGCTTTTAAGAAATATCTTTAGCTGTGGCTTGCTGAGATTGTAATTTATCAATGGACTTGATGTTCTTAGTAGATCTGTGGGGGGCCCCAGGATTTGTGCTTCCTTACATCAGGAAGGAATAGCTGGCTGAGGCTGCTGACTGCTCCCTTTCAAGTGTGAGCTGCTGAATATTCTTTCCCAGTTCAGTCTTTGGCCCTCCAGACTTCAGGCTCCCTTCAGCAAATGTGGCAGCAACATGCCAAGGCTTTTCCTCTGGGAACTTCACTGACCATTGTATAGAAGGAAATCTGTCACTATTGGAATTGGGGGATCCAGAGTATCCTCTTTTATTTCCCTAGTCAAGGAGTAGCTAAATATTTTCCTTACCTTCCACCGATGTCCTCCTATTCGAGTTGTTTTTTTCGGCCTTGAAGCTGTGACACAGCTGTTTGAGGTACAGGTACTGCATTCAAGTTGTTCAAGTTCATAGGACGATTTACTGTAAATTCATGATTTACTGGAAATGAGACATTGAATGCAGCAAAAGCCAGTAGGATGAGTTTAGGACAGACCTTGAAGAGAAATGCAAAAGAATCTTCCTCATTCTGGGGAGTGGGGGTAGAGAGGGGTGGGAGATGGGTTGATTGGCTGTGCTCATCTGCAGCCTGGGCTCAGCACTATCCACCATCTCTCCCCTCCCCAGTTTCTAACCAGGGTTAACAGATACTGTGAGCAGCATTAGGTAAATAGGACCTCTGGTGTGGTCTCCCTGGGGTGCTTGTTCATCATCTGGTAAATGATTGCTTTTCTCTTTTCTCTCTTCAGCCATTCTGTCCTGAATGGAAACTGTCTTACAGGTTTGGACTCTCTTCCCCCAGGGAGTTTTACTGAATCTGAACTAACCCACATTCCCAAAAAAACTTCTCAGTGTTACATCTCCTTGTGGGCCCCTCATAATTCTTTCTCCTTATACATGGATTTACTAATTCAAATTTGTTTATAGGATTTTCTAAAGAAATAATTCTCTGTTTACTTATCAAACAATGTCTCCTTTTAGAAGACTTTATGATGTAGTTGACATTTTAGTCAAAGAATGTAAAGTGATGATTGCTGTCATCAGAGAGAACACTCACACTCCGGACTTGGGGATGAAGGAGAGTTATCTCTAGATCTTGATTTCCTAGTAGAGCAAAGAGCAACAATGTCAAAAGAGACACAGATATGAGAGGTGGCTTCTGTGGAGTGAGATTGCTGAGAAAAATCCTTATGGGAATATTTGCTTGCGAAAAGAGACAATTTTTTTTAATTATACTGAAGCTTTATTTAAAACCTGATGGAATTATTTGCTTTCTCACAGGGAGTTAGTTGCATTGTAGAATAGTTTGATTTCTCTTGTTAATAGCCTAAATTTCATCAAGGTGTAACATGTAAGAAGTGGTTTAATACTTAACCGATCAAGATATCACTACCTACAGGTAAGAGTTATGTATGAGGACGTGTAGTCAAATGCTATTAGGTTTATATTTAATTCTCTATACAAATAGCCTTAGAGATACAGGCAGAATTTTGGGAAATTCATAAAGTGAAATTCTATTTTGTTCTAAAATGTGTACTTCTGCTTTCACCAAGCTTGAGATATTAATTGATGAGGGTTTTGTTTGTTTGTTTTGTTTTACATCTTTTTTTATCTCCTTGTCCAAACTCAGAAAACAATAGTGAATAAAAACACCATAGTCTCCAAAAGAAACAAAACTTGCAGGAAAAAAGGGAGAAGAAAGAAAAGCAAAAGGTCAAGTTAACACTACACAGAAATTGGCAACTAGATCATGAATAACCAGATAGCCACAGAAATAATTTTAAATGATATCAAAAGTTGAAATGCTTGCACCTTACACATTACAATCACTACAGTGCCGTCGTCAGTGACCAACTAATGTACTATTTTGGTTTGTTTTTCTAGAAAGAAAAAAAGGGTTTGTTGAAGTTGCTGTCTGGTGCCTCCACGAAACGCAAGCCCCGAGTATCTCCTCCAGCCTCCCCCACCCTGGAAGTGGAGCTGGGTGGTGGCGAGTTGCCCCTACAGGGCGCCATGGGTCCTGAGCTGCCATTGGGGGGTGCCCACGGCAGGGCCGGCTCCTGCTCTGCGGATGGCGAGGGCCCGGCCGCAGGGGGAGCACCTCTGACCCAGGATGCTCTTCATCGGAAGACCAGCTCCCTGGACTCTGCCGCACCCATTGCTCCCCCTCCCCGGCAGCCGTGCTCCTCCCTGGGCCCAGTCATGAATGAATCTAGGCCGGTAGTGTGTGAAAGGTGAGTTCTGTGATGTGCGGGGAGAAAACTAAGAAATGGGTAGCAAGTTTTATGCTGAAATATGTATTTTGATATTTGAGATCTTTTCTCATGCTTCCTAATTTTTTTTTAAAGATTTATTTATTTATTCATACAAGAGCTGGGGTGCAGGCCAGAGGTCCGGGGGGTGAGAGGATTCACCAGACACAGTGGGGAGCAGAACAGGCAGATCCACTGAAACACACTGCTGAGGGAAGCAGTGGGCGAGTCAGGAGAGGTCTGCTGTGCCATGTGGGAATCTCCCTGACTGGCTGGGGATCGAACTCGTGCTGCAGAGGCTGCGGATTGCTTCATAGTGCGGTGCTTAACCCCTTGCGCCACCAGGGAGGCCCCCTCCTAATTTTTTTTAACGAAGCGCTGGCTTTCTTTTACTGCTTGCTGCCACCTACTCTCTCTCTGCTTTTTCCTCCCATGTGTCTTGTAGGCTTTAGGTCCCCAGCCTAATTTTTTGTTGATTTTCTCTAAACAGCCACTCCTGAATGATAACCAGGTGACATTTCTCAATCTCTGGAAACTGTTCACATCTACTTCCTTCTTGCTTCGATTCCATCACCAACAATTGTTCCTTGTTAAGCCGTTGCCTTTTTTTTTTTTTTAATTAAAAGGTTTACATTAGAACCTGTTAGTGGTAAAGCACCTGGAAAATTCTGCCAGCTGAGAGAATTCTCTTGCTGTTCTTCCTGAGCAGAAGAGGCCACAGTCACAGAGAACTGCCTCTCCTGACCCAGTGACTTGGTTCAGTTACTCTCAGAACAATGAGCACGATTTCATTGCTTCTGACCTTGAATAATGATTACAAACGGGTGCAGTTCTATTTGAACAGGAGTGCATTAGGAAAGAAAATATATTTAACAAGACAAATATCTACTAGGACTGTATGAATTAAAAATGAAGCACTGTTCTTTGCCCAGGAAAAAAACATCACAAAGTACACTAAAAATGCTGAACTGTTTTCACGTAATGCATAAACATATGAACATTTGTTTTATAAAGTGTCATCTGTTTTATTGTTTCAGTAAGCTTTATTCTATCCGTACCTGCATTTCATAAATAAAGCAGATTTCTAATGTGTGGAGGTGTGCTGTAGGATAGCATTTTCTCTGTTGCTGATTTGAAATGTTACTATAAAGTGTTAGACATCAAAATGACTTAAATTTACCTTTGTACCCATCACATTCGAGATCTTAATTCATAATAAATTTTTGACCTGATTTTTAACCAAAAAATAAGCTAGAAAAAGAATAAGCTTTAAATTACTTCTGTGCATTTAGCACAAACTATACAACATATTATATATGAGGGGAACTAATTTTCTATAGTTCTAACCCTTATAGAACCCGTTTTGAAGCCAGACATTGCCCTAAATAAGTAGCCTTTCTTCCCCACATAAAATGTTATTCCGTCTTTCTCCCCATCTATTGTGCTCTCAGTAAAGCTTTGGAATTTTGTTCTGAATACACTTCATCCTTTATTCTGAGAGCCAGCCTTTTTCTTGTAGAATTACTCTGCTTTCCAGGGATAGCACCTCTGTCTCTGGAGTAAGTCCATTGACTTTTTTACTTTTCTTTGGTCCTCTCCCCCTAGGCATTGAGCTGCAGGTTTTCCTTCATGTCCCGAGTCCCTCTCCTGTCTCCCCTGTCATTTGTGGTGTTTGTCTAACTGTTCTGAGTGATGGTTCACTTTGCCCAGACTCTCCCTGGGCACCGGCTGGGCACTGCTGCCTCCCTCCCCATTATGCATTCCTTTTCAGTTGCCAGATGTCCTCAATCTCTGTGGCTTCTGCATTCCAGCCCTGTCCTCTTAGAGGGACTCCTTCTAACAGCAGGCGCCTGCTGTTCAGTACATGTGAAAAGGAGAAATCGCTAATGTAAACAGGTGATGGCAGTTCTGGGAACGGGGTGCACATCAGAGAGGGAACATGGAGAATTTAATGATGGGACAGATGGGCATGGGCACTCTGGAACTCTCCGGCAGGTTTTATGTAACCATTTCAATTTTTACAAGTAGGAAAGGGGTCTTTGGAGAAGATTTCTGTCTGAGTTTATATTTTTACAATCCATATGTTGAATGGAATATTAAGTATAATGCCAGTCCAATCCAACTTTTCATAGCTCCTTTGCTTTCATCCAATAGTATGTAGTTAGCTTGGCTTCCTAGGTCTGCCTGACTCTCAAAACAACAGGGAAAATGTGTGCAAGCAAGTAGGATAGGAAAACATTCTGTCATCCACTGGGAATGAAATTATTTGGTTACTCAAAAACTACCAAGTGTATCATTTAGAGATTACCTGTTTTAATATTTCAAAAAATTCAATGTAATAAAAAGTACTCAATACTAAGAATGAAGAAAAGATTAATTTTGACCTCAATATAATTCTGAAAGCATTTCAGGGTCTTAGAGTCCCTTATTCACAACCTAATATCAGGAACTCTTGCCTAGGCAGAGTTTTTAGAATTTGGACTGATAGGATTTCATGAAAATATATTTTAGTATCTAATCTTGGTACAGTATGAGATAGGATTCATCTGCAGATTATAATGAGGACAAGCATAAAATTTTCTTTCAAACCCTGACCCTGTCTTGTAAATCTAAAGTAGAAGAATGTGAATAGGGCAATGAGTGCCGTCAGTGGAAAGAGGCATCCACGTGATATAAAGACTTAAGCAATCTCATAATAAGGAAGGATGAGCCTTGCGGTATGTTGACAGGTCCTGGTGTCAGCTGAGAGTTTTCTGAGGAACAAAAGGATTCTTTTGTGTTTGTTAGAGAGACTGAAGAAAACAAGCAAAAAATAACACTATGCTCGAGGCAGAAAATGTATAATTGATGACAGCAGAAATAATAGAACAAATATTTTACACTCTGTTTTAGAGGGACTGAGAAAATAATTAGAAATTACAAAGAGAAAGTAGAAATAAAATACTTCAGAAGGAATAGCAGATAAAAGAAGGTATGGCAGGTTTTTCTTCCACGAAAAAAAATTACAGATAAAAGGCTTAGGGAGACACAGCAAATCATCTCTAGCTGTGTATTTTTTTAAGTTTAGGAATTAAACTGATAACCACATAAGCCCATCTCCTAAATTGGAAAAGAACCTATGATCTTTGATCCGGGATTAAACCAGAACGCTTGGAAACATACAAATTGGATAGAGACAGATTTACAGAAAGGCAGTGGGGCTTCACCAGCACAATTAATTTGAGTCAGTGACAATGACCCCACTGGGTGAAGCGATGAACATGATTTACTTGGACTTCAGGCGAGCTACAAAGCGAGCTAGTGTGGCTTGCCAGTGAATCGCTTAATTGGATATTACATTGCGTTAGCAACTGGCAAAAAGCAGGCCATGCTTACCCACCCAGACCGGAGTGATGAGCAGGGTGCCTCCCAGAGCCATCGGGGGTCCAATTTGAGCTGTACCAGGGGAGATTGGAAGCAAAAATATGTAAATTACAGATAACACGAGAGACCAGAAAAATAAAGGCATACAGATAAAAGATTACAAGTGCCCATTTACATGGTAGCCAGACTACCACACCCCAAACCAGGAAGATTGGCACTGGCATGTCAGTGGGGCTTCTTGATAGAGCAAGACTTTGTTTCTCAAATTCCATCATGGTAACTACCACCAAAAACTGAGTTAGGGTCACACAGCCACCAAGAGGGAGAAGCTCATTCAGGACCACACTGCGTACCTCACCTGCCTCCCCAGTGCTTGGTTCACAGGGAACAGCTGAGACTGAGTGGGTTACCCCTTGGCTTTGGGTGTTTTTCTTTTTCTTTTCCAGTTTTTTCATTATTTTTGTTCACTCAATTATTCATTTAGCTTATTTTTTAAATTGTAAAATGTGCATAAAATTTACCATTACTCCAAATGTAAAATTCAGTGGCATTAAGTACATTCACTCTGATCGCACATCACAGTGGTGATAACCACCACAACTCTCCATTCCTAGAACTTTTTCATCATCCAAAAATAATACTCTGCACCCAATAAACAATAACCCTCATCTGTTCCTCCTCCAAGCCCGTGAGAGACACCATTCTACTCTCTGCCTCTTTGAGTAGACTATCCTGGGTGCCTCATATGTGGAATTATTTGTTTCCTTTTGTTTGTGTCTTATTCCACATAGCACAATGTTTTCAAGGCTCATCCATGTTCTAGCACTTTTCGGGATTTCATTATAAGTAAAGGAGATTTGTACTTTTAAAACATAGTTGGAATAGCGATGGGGAACCTGAGATCTGGTCAAGCGAGTTTAGAGACGATTCCTCAGGGGTGAGACTTTGAGAGGCTGAGGGGGGTGGATGGACAGAGAGGTCATCCGAGGGAGTGCCCAGTGGAAGGACCACATAAGCTAGTGCACCAAGTGTGAGCAGTAAAAGCCATACCTGGAAGACATGTTCGAGTTGAGAGGCGTGTTGGACAGACTCAAGCAGATAACAGCAATAGTAGCTATAAGGAGAGGCTGAAGTCACATTGTTCAGGGCTTTTTGAACATCTTACTACAGATGTTTAGAAGTCAGTAATGTTTTTTGAGCAAAGCTTAACTGCAAATAGAGTTGCCACTTAAGAGCATGAATATTTCAGTTCTACATCACATGGATTGGGGACAAAAAGAGATTGGAGGCCAGGAGGAAAGGTAGATAATTTGACCAGGTGGAAGGCAGTGAGGTGGCAGCTATGGCAATGAAGAGAGGACAGGGTGCAGATTTTAAGGGTGGAACTGTATGTCCCTTGGAGATCATGGGAGAGTAATCTTTGACTCCTGAGGTTCAGAACTTTCCCCAAATAAAGACAACAGATGTTGGGCCTCAGCAGCTGTGCCTTACATCTGTTTGTTGGTCTGTAAACATTTACTTGGCAAAACCTTCCCGTGCCTGAGATAGTTGGCTGGTTGTGCCCAGTATTTGGCCTTGAGAGTCTGTATTAGAAATTCGTATGCAAACTACATCACAAGGCTCTAGGCCAGGATCTGGGCTGGGAGATTTCTTTGCAGAGTCTGATACTGCTGCACCTGGTAGTCTTCATACAATCACGACTGTGTCACAGTTTCCATTATGCACGTGGTTTCGTGGTTTCTCCTTCCACCCCCCAGAGGTTTATAACTTAGCAATGAAAATTTGCTCCCACTGGGAACTTGGCAGGAAGATTATGTTCTTAGCCCAGCAGCAGTTCTAGTTCAATTTTTTTTTTTTTTTGACAAAATTGGTTTAGTGCATTTTATAAAATGCAAATATTAATCTAATTCACTTCAAGTTTTTCAAGAACTATTTTTGTTCCGTCTCACCTTTAAGGCAGCTCATAGAGAACCAGTGGGGAGTGCGTTTCGTAAGAGATCTACTCAGACTATGATTTGAGTCATTGTTCACTTTCCCTCAGAAGTATAATGCTCTACTCAAATTTTAACTTGCCCTAAATGGCAACTTTCAACATTGCCTTTCCTATGGATTTTTAGTGTGTTGGCATCAGACTTGAGAAATTTCCTGATGTTGATGCCTTCCTTCAGATTAGCCCAAGCAAAAATGATTTGTTCTGCTCTTTGAAGGTGACAGAGAAGGGATTTCAAAACCCTTACTTTATATCCTTTTAAAAGTCAGATCTCATTCGGGCAATTTTTTAGGTTGTGGCCTGAGTCTATTTCCTGGGTAGAAGTTACTAGCTACTGACTGGCAAACTACGTCCTTCACTTCCTTGAAACACCAGGCCTCTGCCTGCTCTTGCCTAAGCCATGTGGTCTTATTGGAAAATTGCTTTTTGGGGTGTGAACTGCATGACAGACACTGTACTAAAAGCATCGTATTTATAATCTCAAAACCTTTCATGATAACACCAGGTACGGAGCTTAACTCACTACAGTCCTGTTCTATGGCTGAGGAAGCTGAACCAGAGAGAGCTAAGGTAACTGGCTCCAAGTTACGCTGCTGAAAATGACCTTAAAGGCTGTGTCAACCCCAAGACTGGCACTTCCCCCACAATTCCATTCCCCCTTCCTCATTCCAGGCATACATGACCACTGAGCCTTATAGTTTGTAAATATTGAATTAGCCTCACCTTTCCTGGAAATGATAAGCCAGACTCCATGCTGTGCTTTTGCTTCACATCTTGGAGTGTAATTTAGCTCCTGCACCCCAAAGCAGGTGAGGAATTGTTTGGGCAGCCACTTGAACTTTGCAGAAATGCCATTTTCAGTAGAGTAATTGTCTGGGACTCTTGCTATTGTTCTTCTTAATGAGAATGGATTTTAGTATTTTATGGAATGAAGCCTGGTGAAGCTAGCAATCTTCTGAAAGGTCTGGGTTCTAATGGGCTTTAGGAATTTTGTTATATCATTTTTTAAACTATAACATTCTTCACTTGTAGTCAAGAGTGGGTCGCTGGAGGCTATGAACTCATTTTCTGACTTGGAGAACCAAAAGAAAGTAAAAACTTGAAATCACATTTATGACTGAATACTCACTTTCTGGTATTAGAAGTGTATCCATATTTACTAGTCATCTACTGCCATATAACAAATTATCCCCAATATTTAGTGACTTGAAACAATAATCAGCTAGTGTCTCACCATATCTGTGGGTTAGGAATGAGGCTTATCTGGGTGGTTCTGGCTTAGGGTACTTCTTGAGATTCTAGTCCAGACATCAGCTTCAGCTGTGCTCCTCTCAGGCTGGAGGATCTGTTTCACGGTGGCTCACTCTAACCACTATTGCCCATTACTTTTGACTTTTGGAAGGAGACCTTAGTCACCCACTACGTGGGCCTGGCCATCGTGATACTACATTTCCTTACCACAAGGCAGCTAATTTTCCTCTACACGAGTGAGCCAACATACGTAATGTGCAAAACATTACATAGTGAGAAAACGTACATAATGTGCAAGCTAAATGCCTTTTATGACCTAGCCTCAGAAATCACACAGCATCATTTTCAGTTTCATTGGTCACACAGGTCATCCCTTTGCATTTCTGTGCAAAGAGATGACACAAGAGTGTGAGTACTAGGGGGCAGGGACCACCTGGGGCCATTTTGGAGGTTGGCTACACCACCCTTTGGTTGGGAAAAGCAAGAGAAGAGCAAAGGAAAGTAGTAAAACTGGGAAAATAAAGAAGGATACATCATTACAGAGCATAAAATAAGTCATTTCCCTCTAATATCCTTGACTACAAACTAGGATTTTGACCCAAAGAGACAAGGCTGTAGACATGGAAGTAGGGAAATGATATACCAATGAGGCATCCGGGATTTTTAGGTGACAGTTACAGCTTTTCCTACTGATGTCTAAATTGAGAACTAATGGAGAAACAGACACAGCTATCAGAATAATGGAGGTGAGAATATTAACCTCATGACAGTGTTGGATTGAATTTGGACTCTAGAACAAGCTGCCTATGGGAGAATTTGGGTATGTGGGGCAGATAAACTTAGAATTGCTGGCTCATCCACATCCAACCCCACAGTAAACAATACAGAGAGACAGACCTCCAGACTCACTTTCAGAAGTCACGCCTGGCCCCTGGCCCCTGGCTCGGACCACTCCATGGTGCTTACAACATAGAAGCAGAGGCAGAGCTGAGCCCAAGCAGGCTGGAGAAGGGCAGAGAAATCTACACCCACAGCTCAGCTGCTTCTCTGAGTCTTGCCAATCAGATAAATTTGCTCCTTTCTTGGAGAAGAAGGAAGGACAGAAATGGCTCCCCCCCTGGGGAAGTGGAATAAACATCTCCATCTGTATCACTGAGTCACAAACACGACGGGACAAGAATGACTGTCCCTGTAAAGGTCACTCGGGTGAACCAGTCTGGGTCATCAATTGTGGACTCTTCAGTGTCTCCAAACTAGGTTAATCCTAAGTTTCTGGTAAACTGAAAATAGTTGTATTTTGTTTTACAACCCTTGTCAACGAAACTGGTGCGGCTTGCTCTTCTGAGGATGTTTAAGGCATGCAAACTTTCCGCCCACCATTTTCATCCGCTTTGAATGGCCTTGACTAAGACATATTTCTCTTTTCTAGGCACAGGGTAGTGGTTTCCTACCCTCCTCAGAGTGAGGCAGAACTTGAACTTAAGGAAGGAGATATTGTGTTTGTTCATAAAAAACGAGAGGATGGCTGGTTCAAAGGCACGTTGCAACGAAATGGGAAAACCGGCCTTTTCCCTGGAAGCTTTGTGGAAAACCTCTGAGGAGAACAAGGACAAGAAGGCTTAAAAATCATATCACACAATGAAAGAGCACAAAGCAGTGTAATGGCAAGAGCACATTTGTGGAATTCCAGATGGTCAGGAGAAGAGCAAAGGATTGGTGTGACTCCAGAGCCCCGGTTACAGCGCTCCCTGCGAACAGTGTCGAGAAGGCTTGGGTTTGGGATGTGTCTGGATTCTGATGTGTGAGGTGTGCCTTGTGCTGTCTGATCTACACTACAGAGAAAGCTTTTCTTTTTTTAAAGATATATAATGAAAATAGACAATTGTTTACAAGGCTTAACTAATTTATTTGCTTTTTAAACTTGAATTTTTCTTGTAATAGATAAATTCTTTGGATTATGAGTTAAGAAATTATTAATTTATGAAATGATAGCTAAGGAGAAGCTGGATTATCTCCTGTTGAGAGCAAGAGAGTCTTTTGACCTAGAATGAACTCCCCTTACCCCGCTGGTGTTATTTTTCACTTCTTTAAAAAAGGAAATGCCAGTTCTCCAACTTGGTTTTCCTTTCTTGGGATACCAAAACATTACGCGTCTGAATGAGTATCAGTAAGGGCCAGGGGTAGGGAGATAGAAACCCGAGAGAAGTGAAATGATCCCGTCTTTCTGGTTCTGTCAGGAATCACCCTTAAGGCCAAGTCCTCAATTTAATTTTGTGGGTTTTTAATTTTCCTAGAATGAAAGCAATGAGGTGATAAGAATAAAGCACAACCCTTGAACAAAAATGTACTCAGAAATAGATTTAGTTTTATAACAGAAACAGCTCAAATCATTGATTGGAAATTGGGGAAATTGACGCTGTACTCGCTGTCTGCGAATGGCTCTGAGATGTACTCGCCCATTTCACCCCAAGTGATCTGCATGCCCGGGACACAGTTCAAACGTTTGTGAGATCGTGGTGGTAAGTGATGCACTTGTGCTGAAGTTAAAGGCTGTAAGAGACACTGTGAAAAGTTTACATTCATCCATTGTGATTCTTTTCCCACCGTCTTGCATGTGTTACTGGATTCCCACAGTAATGTAGACCGTGCATGGTGTGTATATTTCATTGCAGTTTCCTCTTGAGGTTAGTTTGCCCTCAGAATTGACCAATACAGGAGGTGTAAAATAAACAACATTCTTTTCTCTACTCCAAAGCCACTACTGACTAAGGTTCCTAAGTATACTAACTCCCTCCCTGGCTAAGGCATCCTTTAGCCATGCTCACGTCTTAGTGGAACTGCTTCTTTATTCTCCCAGCTGACAAATGTGAAGGATAAGCCCGGAGACCACTCCGGGGACCCTTCTCTTGAGCTCTGGGAGGCTTGGCGAGAGCAAATGTTGCCCACACCTTACAATTGTGGCAGGATCCAGCTGAGCGGGTCTTTTTATAGCTGCCCTTTGATGTCATTGGCCTCTTGTGCCCATTTCATTCCGGTGCCACGCCACCGTGGGGCTGAGTAGTCCTAAAACAAAAGGAAGGAAAGCAGCCTGGGAGTGAATGAGATCGTTGCCACAGTTTTCTCATTAAAAAACAAAAAAATAAAACAAAAAAAAAATTTCTTTTTTGCTTTTAAGAATTACAACTGGGAAACAGAAATATGAACTGAAAAATCTTGCACTAGCAAGAGATTTCACGGTCTTAAAAAGATACATTGATGTGGTGGAAATGAAATCATTCCTAAATTGACCATTCTTTTCTTTTTTTTTTATAAAACACTGTACATTATGTTCCTGTGTGTTGAATTTTTAAAAAAAATACTTGGATATTCATGTAATATATAAAAGTTTGGTGAGATGAACTTTAGTTAGGAAAAAAGCTGACATCAGCTTTCATCTGTGTAAGTTGACACCAATGTGTCATAATATTCTTTATTTTGGGAAATTAGTGTATTTTATAAAAATTTTAAAGTAAAAAGACTACTACAGGTTAAGATAATTTTTTACCTGTCTTTTCTCCATATTTTAAGCTATGTGATTGGAGTACTTCTGTTAATAGTTTTCTGGTATGAAGTTGGTTAAAATTTCATCTGTTAATAGATCACTTAGATAATATGTATGGGTTTTCTATTGGTTTTTTGGAGATAGTAGGTGGAGATTTTGTAACAAGGGCTTGTTACACAGCAACATGGTGATGATAAAATTGCAATTTATCATTCCTTTTCATGTTAATAATTTGAAGACTGGAGAAAAGGTTCAAGATTAAAATTTGATGTTCAATCTTCATGCGTCCCTTGTGTCAATCCTTAAAATTTATCTTTTTTCCACTTTTTTTTTAACCCGAGACACGTTGATTTGACTCCTACTTTATAACAATTATTTGCCTATATCTCCAACAGATTATGTTGACAGTAAACAATTTGTTGGTTATTTTTACTCTTTAACAAAACCTTATCTGTTTCCAAATAGTCACCCCCAAAAGAGAAAAACCAGAATGTGATGTTACTGTACTATACCCAGCTTCCTGTTAGGAGACACCAAGTTATAAATTAAGGATCACAGAATTTGAGTGTGTCAGAAGCCTTTCCAAGATGTCGGAAAGCACCTTAACTTTGAGCAGTAGAGATGACTTCCCTAATTTTAAATATTTTCTTCCTCCTTGGCCTCCCCCCAAAAATAGTGGAAGTAAGAGGAGATTCAGGAAGAAAACTGAGGATTCTGATAAGGCCTCTGGTGTGGCTGAGTAGACCACTGCCTTCGTCAAATGTCAGCTCTTGCCTCTTCTAAGTGTCTTGATTTTATCATGCAGCATGGTCTCGAGTGCACTGAGGGTCACTTGGACAAACACATGACCCCGACGCTATTAAGAGGATGATCAGATGATCTGCCTACTGGACATTTTCTCAGCAATTGAGGTGGGGATTTATGGAGGGAAAAAAGGAATTCTAGCCCTCTAATTAAACATGGAATGACACCTCTGGAACAAAGGCCATGCTTCTTCTTTTCCAACCCCTGGAGCAAGGTCAGGTCAAGTGAAGGCCAGCACCTTATCTTTCCAATCACATCTAGTTCATTTCTTTTGCCAGCGAAAATTGAAAGCGTAATGGAATTACCTTCTCCCTTTTTTTAAGCTCTCAAGGTGCTACAAGACATAAAGCAAAAACGTCCTTCTAAGTAAAACCAATTTCCTTATAAATTATATCACAAAAGCACATTCAATAAACTCCCTAAAGGCAGAAACAAAGTGAAGACGGATGCCTCACCGCCAGCTCACTCTCATTCTAGCTAATTCAACCTTCGCCTACAGTCGTTATTTGTGACTTTTCCTTTCTCGCTATGGTTTAATAAATTCTGTTAAGAACTGATTATGATTGAGAATCTTGATTTGGGGCAGAGGGAGGATTCTGTATGTCAGTCCTTTTTAATGTTTTAGAAAGTGCCAACTGACAGCACCCCCAAATCTGTGGGTCTTTTTGTGAAACAATTGCTGCCTTGCAGCCACTCTGTAACACGTGAGACCACCTGGGTTGTTTTTGTGTACAGTAAATAAAGATGGGCAGAGAATGACCTAAGGGACACTGAGCTTAAAGGTTGGATCCGAGGTTTTCAGGCAGCCAAGCCCATGCAACATAGCCTCTCATGAGGATGTGTATCAAAGGGAAGGAGGCAGGTAAGGTAGGCAGGCAAGGGCCTTCTTTCCTGTCTGGAAAGGAAGAACCAAGTTCTCACAGACAGGCAGACAAGTGACAAGCTTCCTGCCTCTCTCTTGCTACGGCCACCACAGCAATGAAGCAGTCTCCATATTTAGCCAGCACTGCTTGTTCTACAGGGATAGGTAGCAATTGTGGGATTTCTATGATGTGGTGGTGGTGGCAGAAATCAAAGCCAGGCTTGAATTTCTACCCTTTAAGCTGCAAAGTTCTTTCCTGTGATTTATTTACCCACCAAGACAGATGTGTGGGGTTGGCATATTATCAGTCAGCCCCTATAATAAAATTGGAGTGAAGTTTTCAAGAAGAGGGTATCAGAGAAGAAAAACTTCCCATAAGCAAAGCTGTAATAGTCTCTCCCACTTTCTAAATTCACCCAGTGGCTTAGGCATGAAGAAAGCAGACTCAAAACTTTTAAAATCAGAATCTTAGCCTTTGATCCTGAACTGGTTCTTATGCCAAAGAAAGCACTTCCACACACCCCGCCCCCACCCCTTTTCTTTAAAAAAAAAACAAAAAACCAAAAAAAAGCCTATGCTTTGGATTAGCTCACTGTTCTGTGCATCTCCCCTGTGTCCACAGCACCCTATGCGAGATCTTCAGTGTTGGGTAATGGAGCTTGTGTGAAATACTCCATCACAAGTCTCAAGTAGAAATTTGGGGGCCTCCCCTGGTGGTGCAGGCAGTTGAGCGCTGCACTGTGAAGCTGTCTGCAGCCTCTGCAGCACCAGTTCGATCCCGGCCGGCTGGCAAGGGTCCTACATGGCAAGAAGACCTCTCCTGTCGCTCCCACTGCTCCTCTCAGCAGTGTACTTCGTCAGTCTGCCTGTTCTGTTCCTCGCTCTGTCTCTGGTGAATCCTCTCACCCTCCTGCGCATCTGGCATGTACCCTGTAAATAAATAAATAAATCTTTTTTAAAAAGGTAGAAATTTGGTATATAACCATCCACTCTCCCTGAACTGCCGTCTGAAAAGCCGTTGAGATTTTTTTTGTTTTTTGCCTTTTCTTGCTCTTTATTTGTGGTTATATCAAGTCACGATCAGGAGAGTGGCACATGATAAAAGCACAGCTGCATCAGAGGGAGAACAAGACATGATTCCTTTCAGGGTTTGGATTCTCAAAGGACTGAAAAAAATGTTTTTGCCTGAAATTCATACACATATGCCCCACTGAAACAGCATAGTAAAAGAAATTGTACCCTGGGGATAAGTGTCGCCCAAGTCCTGTTTAAACAGGTGGACTAAATCACAGACTGGTGAGCCCTGTCCAGACAATTTGACCCACCACACTGACCATGGGGCACCATGCTAGACAAAGTGTTACATCTAAGGATTGTCTTACAGTGTCCTAGAGGGGAAGGCAGAGAGCATGAAGGCGCAGTTGTAACTTAACCCATCTGGTCTGAGCATGCCCCGAAGTAGCCCAACCCAGAATAGGCTGTGGTGCTGCTCTCCTCCCCGTGTCTTGGATCTGCCCTTTATTTTTTTAAAGATTTATTTATTTATGCATACAAGAACTGGGGTGAAGGCCAGGGGTGTTGGGGAGG